CCCCCCCCCCCCCCCCTTGCAAGATGGCATTGCCAAAAAGGAGCATTATTAATTATTAATAATAGAATAAATGGGTAAACTCTGTTTAAAAATTTTATGTAAATTTGACTGCCAGTATATGCAGAGCCCAGTGTGGAAAGTTTCATTGCGTGACGCAGATATCGGGCGCACAATTTTTCTGCTTTCTATATATTTACTATTAAATTTTCAAAATCTCCAGCATGCTATTACCAAACTTTCCTTCCAGATGCATAGTAGCCTGTGTATACAGTATAGCCGTAAATTCTCCTGTGGGAGAATTCACGGTTGTACACAGGCTAGGTGTAGTGCTGTGCGCCGCAGGGCCAGAGTTTTGGCCTATTTAGCCAGAGTTTGTTCAACTCCGGCAGCACTATTTATGCTGCAAACATTTAATGTTAGACATTGGCGAAAAAACCTGAATCAATCAACAAAAAAGTAAATACTCATATTGGTACTACGTAGGCTTGCCACAAAATAGTATGAAATGTTCATGCAAAGTGTTAAAATCAAAAACAAAGATAGTGCTTTCTTTGAAATATCCATTAAATTTCAAATTTTCACGAATTTGCCAGAGCTTAAACTTTCTGTCCTTAAACTTTTTTTCCCCCCAGAGCCGGTGAAAAAACCAGAGTTTGCACAGCACTAGCTAGGTACCACAGTGTGTAGCAGACATGTAATTTTGAATAGTCTTGTGATGTAATAGTACAAGCCAAGCATGCTAATGCATTCAAAATAGCATGTGGATGTATATTGGAAGACAAACACATGCACATTTCAGGCGCAAAATCAAAACAATGTTTACCCGTTTATAGAACCTGTCACTTAAACATAATTTTTATAATGTTAATAACTCATAAAATACCCACACAATGACTCATCATTATCAGAACTCAGTTCATAAATCACGACGGTTGGTGAATTCTCCTCAGCTTGTTCCTTGACAACATTACTTTCCAATTCATCCTGTTCCGAAACTTCTGAAATATCAGAAACAATTCTTGGCTTCTTTTCTTCGCTTACCCCTTCAGCATCATCTTCCGCCGTTTCTAAAGCTCTTTTACTAGGACTAGCACGAGAACTGCTGGCCATTTGCGTGAAAATAACGAGCTACAAAGCAAAAAAATATTTCCCAAACGTTTTCAAAATCCACACCTTTTGACCGCCATTTTGTTTTAGAATTTAGAATGCATTTTTGTATAGACTTCATGTAACCCTCATTATAGTATATCAAAATACAATGACATTAGGGTACCCTTGGGGTGTATTAGGGTACTACCATATTATTTACAGTTTTTACAGTGACTTCAATACTTTTCGCATGTAGTTTTCTAATGTGAATAAGCGGGTGATTATGTGAGCCCCACATAAAGGGCTGGCCCTACTGATTAAAATGAGAGGAGGACCGGGGACCAACACTACAAGGCGAGATCCAGAAACCTCGCAGGGCTGGAAATTTCAAACCGCCTAGCCTTTTGTGTGGAGCTCGTTGAAACACCCTTTAATATATCAACCTACAAGTTTTTAAACCTTTTATTGCACTTTAAACGACTCTACTCGTCAAAAGTACAATTCCAAGCACACAAAAAGGCAAATAGCGAGATGCAAATTTTGGTGCTGAAACAAGACTCGCCCCTTGATTAATAAACACAGACAAATATTGACTCTGAAAGCAAAATCTGCATCGGGGTAGCCAGAAAAGTTTTGTTGGTTTTGATAATATTTTCTTATTTCTTCTTGCGTTTGCTAATGCCTTTTTCATCAGAGCGTGCTGACAGAGGAGGACTTGACTTTTTAGGTTGAGCTTCTCTTCGATTAATCTATATATTGGGAAGAAAACATTCGCGTTAGGATAAATAAGTACGACTTAATAATAAGCAAAGCAAAGTAAAGCAATGAAAAGCCTACCCTATCCTACCCTACCCCACCCCACATCACCTAACCCTACCCTTGATCTGCAGTAGCAGTTCACGATGTTCATTAACTTACACTTTTCATAATTTTACTCTTCAACTCTTGTGCTGTCATTGGTCGACATTCATCTTCGCTTTCTTCCGTACTTCCATCGGTCTCATAATCGTCACCTGTCGTCGGAGGTACGATAGCTACCGAGCCTGCAGCGATCTGAGGTCCGCCACCCAAGAGTCCCACCGGTCCTAGGTCAGTACGCTCTGTTTCCTATTAAATTGATCACATTGAGTATGATAAGCTTATGAGGCGAACGTCAAGACTGCTGGGTTTCATAAATCACAAAAATGCACCACATACAATGAAGGGAAAACGACAGGGAGTGAGAAAATAGTGTCAATATTATAAACTATACAGTATAGTCTTGCATTCCTAGTTTCATGCATTGCTTCACTTACCTTGGCATTCTTGTAGGCAGATGTTTGTAAAAGTTCATTCGTTCTCTGCTCAATAATACCAAGATACTAAAAGAAAGCAGAAACGCTATCTATAATTCTCATGAAACACGTTGTTACTAATTCGCTTGAAGAGTGTTCTTTTACGTAGAATATTTTTATAATAATATTTTTAAGTTCTTTGTATGTTTGCATGGCGATAAAATATAATAGTTTTGTTTGCGGAAACACCACGTAAATTTATTACTGCAAAGCTTTCGATCCGTAAGCCCGGATCTTCATCAGTGCTAATAATATGCATATTATTAGCACTGATGAAGATCTGGGCTTACGGATCGAAAGCTTTGCAGTAATAAATTTACGTGGTTTCCACAAACAAAACTATCAATAATATTTTTATAATATATTTTTCTTTTTCGAATACTACTAAAACTGGACCTCTACGTTTGATCGAGATATTTTTTCACGTAGTTCAGACACAAAGCTCATGAGCTCATTGTAGAATACAACCTACACTGGTCACTCAATGATGAAATACCAAGTAGTTTACACTAGTACAGTAGTTCTACCTGCATCATATTTCCTTCAGTGACGCCAGCCACTCCACCCAACATATCACTGATTGCTGATTTATCGCAATTGATTTTCTTAAACAATGAGTCCACACCTGAAATGAACAAAACTCACCCTGTTATTGTTCATGTAAATGCAAGAACGTCGGAGTGATGGGCCTTCATTGGGAAGTTAGTAGTGTTGGCTCTACCTGCATGTGGCACAGACCGTCTATTAAATCATTTCACCTTTAGGTTCAATATGAGCTGGTCAAAAAATAAATTGCAATAACATCAACTAACCGTCTTTCAATTGCTCTATTATTTTATGAGTTCCTTTATAAGCATCGTCATACTCCTCGCACGTTTTTGATGCCTTGTTGAGATCATCTTCCAACTTTCTCAAAATTGCTTTTCTTTCCTCTTCCACATCAACTCCTTCACTTTTGAACGTATCAATGTCGTCTTGAACCTGGAAGACACAACTTACTACAGAACGCTGCTAGGAACATCAGTTGTTAACTATTCTACCAAGAAGTACAGTCTTTTACATCCCCGTTCAAGTATATTGTTTCAGTGCTACTACAGGTGAAAACTTTAACTATAACTTTTTATGTTGAATAGCTCTATCAGTTCAACCTGTTCTCCTTAAATATGTAGTGACGTAATCGTTCTTGTTCAGGAACCCAAACTAACTAGATTTAGCTAGTTGCTCTGTAAGTTATAAGCTGTTCTCCCTAGAGGTCCAATAAGGACACTCCTTATATGCATCCACTGAGTCACGATAGAAAGAAACCTAAACTAAACTAACTTTGTTTATACTGGATATCCCTATCAGTTCTAAACTGTTCTCGCTGGAGATTCAGTAAAAGCAACCCCTTATTGGTCCAGAGTCTCTATGCAGAATCACTATTACAGTCGATTTCAACTTACTTTTCACTCAAATGTTCCGAACTTCGTTCCGAACTTCGCAAATTCGTTGCCAAGTTCAAAAGTTCATAATGAAACTCGCAAACAGGTTTGTAAACAAAGCCTCTGATTGGCTATTAAATCAAACCAGCCAATCAAATGCCCAGTTTACAAACCTGTTTGTGAGTTTCATTATGAACTTGCATGGCAACGAATGTGCGAAGTTCGGAACGAAGTTCGGAACATTTGAGTGAATCGACTGTAACTGTGGCAGAATGAAACAAAAACTAAACTAAATCTAACAAATAGCAATACTATCTGTCAAACTAAATCTAACAATAGTATACTATCTGTCATTCAACACGCATGGTTTATACCTACCATACTGATCTGTTCTTGTAGTATCTCGATATCATTGTTCAATTCGTTGACATAATTAAACAGCGCGAAATTCTTGTCCTCCACTTCAATAAACTTGCTCACTAACAGATCAATGTCTTCAATTTCCGTCGCTTCTTTCAATTTCTCAAATGCTTCTTCGTAAGACTGGGTAAAAATAATGCAATGACAATAAGTATTTGGAATAACAAAACAACATAGAAAAAATCCAGCTGGACTCAACTTTCATTTGACAATACAGTATTAGGGTTTTCTTTTGGGGGTTTATGTTGAAGAACCAATTTACAACCTTTCTAACTTGATTTTTTATTATTTTTTTTATACAAGATGATACAAGATTACATTGGAATCGAAAGAACTATATTCTGTTCAGAAATATCACTTACTCGAACCGTCCTGACCGCGTAGCTCAGTTGGCAGAGCATTGGGCTAGTATTCCAAAGGTCGTAGGTTCGATTCCCACCGTGGCCGGGCATATTTTCAAGCTCGCCCAGTGTGTATATACAATCAGAATAACATCACAAACCTTTCTAACTTATTATGATGTTTGAGATTTTCTGTACATGTGAAAATAATATATTTAGTGTATAATGTTTCTTGGTATTTTTAAAGTCTGAAGAAGTTAATAGTGGACTCGACGTTTAAGTTTTCTGCACCGAAAAATCAGTTCGGCTATCCAGTATAATTTTGAAATTAATGGTACCTACTTACCTCGACAGTCTCCTCACGGTCCCCTTTATCCCTCTCTGTCTCTTTCTTCCGCTGTTTCATTCCCAGTTCCTTATCAGCAAGATCGGCGCGTTCCTCGCCCTTCACTCTCATGAACTCCTTCAGTTTTCGATCATGATCAATGATTCTTATCAATTCCTTCAGTTCCATGTTATACTGAAGTAGGTCCTTGTCCGCTTTCTCTTTTAACGCGATCATTTTTGATTGGGCTTCATCCCTAAAGTAACAAAATGAAACCCAGTTCTTGGTTATCATTGAAATGGACTTCTTGTTACTCGGCGAGCGTTTCGTATGGTGCATGTGATAATATTGTTTCTTAAAAATTTTAATTTTTTAACCAAATAGACTAACTTAAAACATGAACTAATAAACGATATAGGTCACTAATATCTTTTAATTTACTTTGTTATGTTTGGATTAAAAACCGCGCGTGCAAATTAGGATACCACGGCCAGGCGCGCAGATTCGAAAACTAGGCGCGCAAAATGTCTGGAAAATTTTGATCTCGAAAGCGCAATTTGCAAACTTTCCAGTCTGGCTTTTACGTAACTCTCAGAATAACAATAATACTAATGTGTGATGTATCTCAGTTATTACCTCGCATCATAAGCGGCAGAAGATGTCTCAATAATTTCTCCCATCTCTTTCTTCAACTCCGCCAAATTTCCTTCCAACTTTCTGTACTCTCCTCCAAAAATAGTGCGCACTTTCCTCGCGTGGTCTATTTCATCTCGTAGCTTTGCGTTCTTCGCGAGGAAATTATTAAACTGCGTTGTTTTCTGCAACGGAAAATCCGCGTTGAAGGTTTATGTTTAAAGGCATGACATACAGTAGTCTTGGGAAGAAGGCTGAGATTTTTGCACAGACTGATTTTTGTTGCTTTGGCAAAAATTATTATCTTTCTTAAATTTAAACTTAACTTAATTATAATAAACCTCTTCACACAGAACTGTATTGAAAAACTGCAACCAGACATTTCTCCCTGTTAAGTATTGATTTCCATGCATTTTCTACTTCATCCATCCATTAAAAGTTTTCTTATCTCTAATGATTCTCTTCATGATTTAATCCTTTTCTACACGTTTTCTATAACTGCAGTACATCTCTCCAAATTTTTCATCTAATTATTAAACTCCTGACTTCTTAGTGATTCCATCACCATTCTTTCTTCTTTCAATCTTCCAATATTTCATTTCTACACACTGTTCTTTTGACCAGTTTCTGCAACTATAGTTACCTTATCCAGACGATTTTCCATCACTCTAATCTGTTTTCCTAACTGCACTTGAACTTGGTGTTGCATATTTGTCCTAAAATGTCAATTTTTACAACACATTAACACCACTATACCAAATTCCATAATTACCATCCTGTTCTTTAAGGTAAATTACTTACCCTCCCATTGTTTGCCTTTCTCTGCTCTTGGATTGCTCCATTTGCTTTATCTAGTAAACAAACAAAAATTAGAACAATTAGACGTGGTATAATTAGAACAATACATGATATAATTAGAACAAGATATGATATAATTAGAACAAGATATGATATAATTAGAACAAGATATAATATAATTAGAACAATATATGATACAATTAGAACACTATTAGAAGTGTAGAATACATATTCATTACCTGTCTATTAAGGTCCTGCATAAGTTTCTTCTCTTCATCATATTGTGTTTTGAGAGTGTCTAGTAAGACAATACTTTAAACTAGTAATTTATACTTTCCTGACGTGTTTTTGAGGCCCATATATTTTGATGCTGAAATGTATTTGCAGTAATACTGTATTTACTTACTTTGTTTTTCAAGCAGTTTTACAAGACTATCTGTATTTTTGTTATCCTGAAATGCATGTGAAATTATATGTGAATGTGGGCAAAGCTGTAATGCAGGTACAGGTATAGACTTAACAGATGACAAGAACTTGGACTTACAGGACTACAAATTAATGAAGTGGATTAGGTATATGTTGATAATTATTCAGTCACCTTTTGATAGTTTTGTTTACTTCCTGCTAGACCCAGTTCTTTTTGCAATTCACGGATTTCTTGATCGAGCTGAGCAATTTGATCTCTGGAAAAATTTATAATATATTGAGTGATTTAGCCCTTCTTAAAAAATTAAGTCATTCTACGATCAATGTTGTGAGCAAATGTCCCCACTTCTTTGTCATGAACTAGACTTAGTTGTCTTCTTTAAGTCCTATAATTTAGATAAAGATTTTCTATCTTAAAACATACTGTTGCTTTCTGATGACATTTTGTGATTCTTCACAGTACGCTCTGCGATCGCCATCCATCACACGATATTGTCGCTGAAGTTTTTCCAACTCTTGCTCAGCTAAATAGTTGATGAAACAATTTATCAGTCATGGTTAGTCACTTGAGTTTAAAAATTCTCAAAAAAATTTCAAGAAAAGATTCATACTCCCCCCAAGGAGGATATTTCTGCCGTCAAAAGGGAGTGGGGAAGAAAAATTTGTTTCTGATTATAGTAAGTGTATTATAGGACATCCAAAGGGAGTAGGAGGGTTAATGTCCAATTTCCTCCATGGGGGAGGTATGCGACGTTTTCTGGAATGACCCAATAATTACAATCAGATTTTTTACCTAGGCCATCCATTTCAATGTCACTCATGACAGAATGCCTGCTTTGAATTCGATGCATCTTGATTAACCTACACAAGATTAAAAGTTTTTAATGTAACATGAGTGCAAATATACATAGTTAGGAAACCTGGCAGGGGGGGGGGACCGTAGGCCATAGCCTTTAGGTTTAAATAGACCCTCCAAAAAACAGATAAAACTGAAAGATGTTTAATGCATCTAACTAGAATATACTTATATATTAAGCTTATATAAAGTCAACTTACATGCAATTTAAGTATTGAACGTACGGGAATATTGTATAATACATGTGGGAAACAAACGTAGGAAATCAATAATAAAAATATGAACATACAATATGACAATATACTTGGCATATTTTTGAGAATATACATTATTTGCTTGGAAAATAACAACCTTTTTAAACATATACATTCTTACACTCCTTACCTTTGTAGTATGATGAATAAAACACGACTATTTTCTTTTGGATTCTTAGTTTAAAACGGAGAGTTTTCTTTAGTGCACAAAAATACAAATATGGTCTCCGTAACCATGGCGACAGACACAGGGTAATAATTATTCATAAACCTGACATATCGGGTAAATAGTACCCTGACGTTGACAGGCGGGCAAAATACAGCTGCCATTTTGATTCAGCACGATGCATGAACTATTTCGCACGTTGTTTTAAGTTTGAAAAGCTATTGTTTGAGTAAATTACTTCCACGTTTGAAAGAATTATTTCCACATTTCGACCAATGAAATGTATGCGAATACATGCGTATTTTAGACATGAAATTCCAAGTGAACAAACGCTTTTTCTAATTTCATTGGGCAAAATGTGGAAGAAATTGACACAAACGTGGAATCAATTTACCTAAATGCAAGTTTTTCAAACGTAAAACAATGTACGAAATGGTTCAAATTCGAATTCTTGATTTATTCAGGATTTCCTTCGACATGTTTGGGCAAGCCTATGACGTCATGATCCAATATGGCGGCATATAAATACTCAAAATGCTAACTAACGCGTTTTATTTTCGAGATTTCCATGCTTCGTATAGTTACGATCTCTCAGTTTCGTTACCATTTCAAAACTAGAACCCTTCTAAAATATCCTTATTACATTTTTATGATGGGAGAGCCCCAGTTTTTCGCCGAATACGCGAAACTAGGTCGGGCGAAATGTAAAAATTGCAAGGAGAAAATCGATAAAAGTTGCTTAAGAATCGGTAGGCTCGTACCGAACCATTTCAGTGATGATGGAGGCACGATGAAGGAATGGTATCATACAAGATGTATATTTGATAAGTTCAGCAGAGCGCGGAGTACGACAAAACGAATCGATTCCACAGATGAGTTGGATGGTTTTACCACTTTAGAAGAGGAAGACCAAAAATCGATCGAAAAATTTATTGCTGGTATGGCCTGATTGCTTTTGTATTTTGCTTCTACATACAATCTAGGATTCTAGTCACTAGTTCTACAAAAATAGTACGAATTAAGATCCTCTGTAATATTTAAATATGCTATAAAATAGCGGCGAGATACTATATGTAGCTACTAATACGCGCTCGTATTTCCTAGTTCTATTTTGATGGCTTTATTTATCTTTGATAAAATTGATATACACGAAAAATATCAAGGATCGCTGACGCTGTTTTGCAGAGCGCCGGGCATAGACAAATCTAGTGACTACATTAATTGTATCCAATGTTTATATCATATATGTAAATTATTTTACTATATATCAAACACAATTTAACGAACTGCAATTATGTACGTATAATATAGAATTGGATGAATCGAAAAAGCAAAGTCCGGGGTCCAAAAAGAAGAAACAGTCTCAGTTATCATTTGCACAGAAACCTGGTACCTCAAGCCAAAGTAATGTCAAGAATATTTCTATATCTAGAAGTAGAAACTTTAGTGACTTTAGTATCTCAAAAGAAAAGGGATTATCCAATCCGATGCATAATACTATCATCTAGCTTCTTTCCATTTGTTCAGAAGACGACAAGCAGCAAGCTGGAACAAGCAAAGAGAAGAAAACTCCTGACAAAAATACATCGATTGCAACAACATCTTTTTACAGTTTTTGTCAACTGTGCGCTGAGTTGTTTAATGAACCCAGCTATAATGCCAAAACCGCCATTGTGAAAAAGTTTTTAAATAAAGGTTGTTATTATCTAAGTGTTTAAATGAATCATGGCTAGAAGATACGGAGATATAAATATATTCTACTTCATTACTAATTTATATATCACGTTGAAATACGACTTCAACTGTAAACAGTCAATTATATTACGCGATGTTGTAAATCGAAAAATGTGAGAATAAGGTAGGTCGTTCACAACTTCTGCACTCGCTGGAAGCAAAACAGAGTCTGTCGAAGCATTTATTGTAATATTGACCTGGTTTAGGTCGCTATTCATCTTGCATAGTTATATACATGAACTTGTGGTTACAGCTAGTCACTCTGACTCTGTAGCTCAGTTGGTCAGAGCGCTGCACCGGACTCGCACGGGCCGCGGGTTCGATTCCCGCCCGAAGGCCTAAAGTTACATTTTTCACAACTGTTCTTGATTAGATCTAAAATTGTATGAAATTCACACTAGAAATTTCCAAGTTCGGTATTTTTATATAGAGCGGATTTGGAGTTATAGACAAATATAGCTATAACCTGCTTTGTACAAAGATAGAAAAAACAGGATGGGTGGAACCTTAGACCAAACGATTAATACACAGTTAAATACCTCGACCAACTTTGTTCCTGCGAGTGCGGAAGTTGCAAACGACCTTCCTTATTCTCACAATTTTTGGATTTACAACATCGCGTAACACAATTTACTGTTTACATTTGAAGTCGTATTTCAACGCGATATGTGAAATTAGCAAGGAAGTACAATGTATTATGTGCGTAATACTTGGCCATGAGTCGGTGAATTTACTTGAGTTCCCTTCAATGGTGACTTATACCGGAATCATTTGCTCCTGCCCACTATTTCGTTCAGATATTCAATACACGCGTATAGGATATGCATTATCCTTTCTCACCTTCTGTTCCACAGTTTACATCTATCACAAACGGCGTTCTTCTCAGGCAGCTAGTACGGTATTGCGTCTTTGACGTTATTTAAAATCTCCTTTTTGTATTTACGTTCACCGGCCTTTTTTTCCGATAGTCGATCGTCCTTCTATAATTATTTTTAGAAGGCAATCGTGATTCATAACATGTCCTGACCATCTCGCTTGTTGCCCTTTAATAGTTTTTTTTTCAATTATAGCTAGTTCGAAAGCTCTAGTATTCTCCTAAAATGCTTAATCTTTTTCAACTCTCAGTCAGAGATGGCGAGCAAGACGTTTACCTCGCTGTAAAGTTGTTGCTTCCTGGAGCTGTCAAAAGAATTTATAACTTGCAAAACAAACAACTTGTCAAGTTATTCAGTCAGGTAAACAACCATTATGAACTATGTTAAATTTTATGAAAGGTTGTATGTGCATTAAATTGACGATCGCTGAATAATGGCGTCTCTTTACTCTTTAGATATTTGATTGCAGTTTGGAAGAAATGATTTCTGACTTAGACCAGGTTCGCCACAGCTTTCAAAACTTCAATATTTTATTTCAAACTATTCTTTTTCTAAACGTTTCCATAACTGGCTTTTCTGTAATTTGACTTTAATAGCTTTTCTCGGCTTCATTCCCTTGTTTTATTTTCATTAATTAAACACTGATATTTTTCAGTAGTATATTTCAATTCCAAACATTTTTTTGCAAGGGTGATGTTTCTGAAACAGTCAAAACGTTTTTTGAAGACAGCCACGACAAAACTCCGTCAAAGAAGAGCACTTTAACACTCCAAGAGGTTTGAATATTTTTCTGAAATCAGCTTAACATGCTATTCCTTATGTCCACGTATTATCTTTGTAATACGAACTATTTATTCTTTCAAGGTTGATCATTTTCTTGACAAAATGTCAACTTTAACGAAAGAAGATGAACAGCAAAATGAATTATCTAAAATTACAAGAAAGTAAGATGAGAATTAATAAAGATTAAAGTAACATGCAAAAAGACACGAAAAACATGGTTATTATGTTTATGTAAACCTAGTCTATTTTATCTCAGAATAGATTTTTTTTCCATTCCAGATGCACATCAAACGATCTGAAGTACATAGTTCGTTTGATTAAACATGACTTGAAAATCAACGCCGGAGCAAAACATGTGTAAGCATGTATATCATCATTATTAATCTTGTCCAATCTTCCTGACTTTTGTTTTCCATAACTTATGAGTTTTCTTCATATATCTTTGTTATTTCAATATCTTCCTCAATTAGATTGATATAAGTCCTTGCAGGTCTCGTTTTCCTCCTTTAATGATGCATGACTCCCAAAGAATCAGCTGACGTTTCATGTAAAAAATAATATTATCTCATACGATACAGACTTGAGGCTCTCGATCCAAATGCATATGCAGCCTTCCACGCATCTCACAATCTTCAAGATGTCGTTGAACGTTGTTTGAAGAAGAGTGAAGATGTTCCAGGCTTGACAAGAACATTGAGTATTAAAACGAGAGTGATGACGCCTGTTAAACCCATGTTGGCCGAAGCATGCAAATCGTTCGCTTCTGCCATTAAGAAATGTCCAAAGGGGATGTTTGCCGAAATAAAATACGACGGTGAACGAGTACAGGTACGAAACACTCTATGCAGTATGATTACGTACTGTATTGAAGTTCCATGTACGATTTTTTCACAAGTACACCGTACATGATTTAGTGAATAACCTTTCATTTTTCTTGTAGCTCCATAAAAGTGGAAATGACTTTCAGTTTTTCAGCAGAAGCTTAAAACCTGTTATTCCGCACAAGGTATCAACTTCACTTTGCTGCAGATACGTCTAAAAGTAATTGAAAAGATAAAGAAAATTTTAGCGTTTATACTTGACCAACAAAGAGACGTCCATCCAGCCAGTTGACTATTGATCCTTCCAATGCAATCGCCATCTGTGAAGATAATATATTATATTTGTTTCTTTGACTTTCCAGGTTGCTGAAATCAAAGAATATCTACCCAAAGCTTGTCCCCATGGAAACGATTTAATACTTGATAGTGAAGTAAGTGCTTTGCACACGCGCAGTTTCTTCCCTCTAGTTCCTTTAAACTATATACGATAAAATTTCATATAGGTTCTTCTCGTCGATCATAAAACTGGAAAACCTTTGCCTTTCGGTACACTAGGAATTCACAAGGTTAGTTCGAAGGTTATTTTTGAATTCAAAATATAAGTTCTAAAAGACAAGGTGATATACCATGCGGGGTTTTTTTGCGTTTTATTGTAGAAATCAGCGTTCAAAGAGGCGAGTGTTTGTCTCTTTATCTTCGACTGTCTTCAATTCAATGACGAAAATCTCATGCAAAAGTGAGTTTCAAAAATATTTTCCATATCCCATCGACTACGTTCATTTAACTTGCTGAAGGAAATTCGTGCGTTATTTTTTGCTCATTTTCAATATATAATAATTTGATTTCAACATTTACTATCCTCGTAGACCAATGGAGGAAAGAAGAAAACTTCTTGAACGAAATGTCAAAGAAATTAAAAACCATATCATGCTGTCAGAAACAAAATTTATTCAAGTAATATAGCTTTTATATATTTTTATTTACGCATTCATGAATGATAAGTATTGTCATAGCCAACTTATGCTATTTTTAAAGAGTTTTTTTGTGGTGTTTTTTTTTACAGACTCCCACAGCATTGTCTGATCTGATGATGAAAGCCATTGACGAAGGATTGGAAGGTCTCGTTTTAAAAGATTTGAAGGTATACGTTTTATTATAATAAAAGCCTTTTCTAGAGTGGATTACTGTTTAAATACAGAAGGTACAAGAATACCTTAAGTTATTGTACGAAGCAAAAACGGAACACTATTTCAAGAATTCGATGAATTGTTTCCTGTCATTCTCTACAGGGTGTTTACGAGCCTGGGAAACGTCATTGGCTGAAGGTAATTTGTATTTAAAATTAAGCTTTCCATAAAAATCTGCTACGTACGTGTGTTAAACAACTTAAACATTTATGCATATTTATTCTGCGTAGATGAAGAAAGATTATTTGGAAGAGGGTTCCATGGCAGACACCGCTGATTTGGTTGTTCTAGGCGCATATTATGGAACTGGAAATAAAGGTATATAATATATAACATTTGTTCCGCACAGCCTCCAGTGAAGAAAAATGATTCCCCACAATCAGAATTTTTTACAAAGGGCTATATGCAATATCCACCTTGCTCAATAATTAAATGACAAATTACATCAACTTTCCCCAGGTGGTATGATGTCAGTGTTCCTGATGGGAACATACAATGAGAAACTAGCTTCAACTGTTATATATCTGTATTTTGTCTTGGCTAATATAGCCTTTTCCAAAATTTTTGAAAAAACCTGTCTTAATTTTTTATACCAATTTATTTTGTAGAAACTTGTCGCTGCGTCCAAAGAAACCTCAGGTAATTTGATGAAAGATTTAAAATTTATAAGTTAGTCAGTAATAAGTCAACGCAATGAGGAAAACTATCTTATGCATGAATAACTTTTTGACATAGAGATGAAGTCGAACCCATCAACAAGTACGGCGAAAGATGATGACGTAATGGATACAGCGGATAAGCCTGCGACAGAAGTTGTGGGTGGTGATAAGGGAAGTCGAGGACAAAAGAGGAAAAGTGAGGATGCAGGCAGTGAAGAGACATCAAGTAAAAAGGTATGATATTATATAAAGGTCTAGTAAACCATAACCGGACTGCCTGTTTTCAATACGGTCATGCTGTCAACAAATCTTTATTTTTTCAAGGCAAAACCAATGTGCATGTATGGCTCGAAATGTTACCAGAAAAGTCGCAAGCACAGAGAGGTGTACTGCCATGATGAAAAGGAGACCACTGCTGAACACGCGGAGGATAGTGATACAGTGAGTTATGAACTGGGGTTCTTGATGGGTTAACTTACTACTAATATTTTCCCTATCTTAACTGATAGCTGACGACACTGAAACAACAATCTAGAACCAACATCGTAGTGACAAAATATCACTGACACGGCTCGAAATTATTTCAATTTTACAAGTGATGTAATACGTCCAACCATTTTTTCCCCTAGACCTTACCATCTATATTTACTGGAACGAAAATCATAATTGGTGATGATATTGAAGATAGCAAGAAATTAAGAAGATATATCATTGCGTATCCTTTCTCTACTACCTCGCTTAATACATTGTCTGTTAGGTTAGATTACCTTTGTCTGCAACAAGAGTACTGATTCCGTTCAGGTCTTGAGACTTGGGTAACGGAAACAATAGCGTAAAATCAGAGATTCTGTAGTTTTAGTCTTAACTAAATAATCAGATACGATGGTTTGATAATTCCTGAATACCAAAGGAATAAAGCCACTCATGTGGTTTCTGCTAAGGTATAAGCTATCTTTTAATTTGTGTTTGTTTGTCTCCACTAATGAGCTCAAGAGATATAGAATCAGATTCCTAATCCTTGCCCTAATCCCGTTCTTTTAATATTAGAGAGATTCAGATTTGACTACCACTACCATTAAAAGACCAGTAACCGTTCAGATGCGTTTGATATTTCCGAACAACCAATCAGATGCGTTTGATATATCAGATTAACCAATCAGATGCGTACTTAGTGAGAGGGAGTGGAAGTCAAATCTGAACCTCTCTAATAATTGAAAAAAAAAACGTAAACATATAGTTGTTTTACTTGTGTTTACTTCAAAACTGTAACATTTCTGAAATTTGTGGGACAGACTAATTACTATTCAATTTCTTTCCATAGGCCGACGCAATGGATTCCTCTCAGTTTCTGGTCAAACCAGCTTGGGTATGGGAGTCGATCAAAGCAATTCAAATGTTACCTGAAGGAGATTTTGAGCCATAGATACTGGACTCGTTCTCGTGAAAATTAATAATCTTAATATAATTATTTATTGCGAGGATACTAATGAGTGAAGACAAGTAATTATGCATGATCACTAATACTAATAACAGACTATGTAACAATAGCGCGCGAAACTTAATTAATAATAAAATAATTGCACTATAGTGAGTAATAGTTTAGAATATTAGTGTAGCTAAATTGCAAACTGATATTGACAATAATAATACATGTGTGTAAATGGTTGGGGGTGTAAGATTTAACAAATATAAAACATTTTCCGTGTTGATATACAGTTATATCAACACGAGTGGAAATTGGGAAAACGAGAAATTGTGTGGAAACACGACGCCCGAAGGGCGGAGTGTTTTCACACAATTTCGAGTTTTCGCAACTTCCACGAGTGTTGATATAACTATATATCAATACAGAAAAAATGTTTTATATTTGTTTTATAATATAGCAATGTCAAAAGCCCGAAGAATAAGAACAATTTCCGTGTTACAAGCGGCGGAAAATTTCCCGTGTTGACATGGAGTTATATCAACACGGCTCTTAGCCAATCAGCGTTCAGAATTTACAAATGCTATATTATAAATTCTGATACTGTACTGATCAACACAATTGTAATAATATAAAAAAAATTGTCAAAAACTTTGAATGTAAACAATTAGCAAGAAACATTTAAATAAATATTTCAAAAAAAACGTACCAAAAACTTTAATATTTTATACCATACATTTAAAAAAATAAAATAACATATTCATGTTGCAATTCTAAGCCTATATAATAATGTCGTTACTATCAAATAAATTTCCCCATTTTGAAATTTTGAAACAAAGTTTTTCTAATTCTTGATGTCGTTCAATGGCACGAGCCAGCACACTCGCACGGACAATCCGCTTTTGTTATACTCGTGGCTATGCCACACACGCAGTCCGTGTGACCGCATGCGCATTTCCTGCGCGCCGTCTTTGTTACTTCAACCACAGGTTTACCTTTGGAATAATTTTCAATTGCAGTTGCAATCTGAAAAACAAAATTAAGAATACAGGACATGGTGAATAACCTTTCTTTTACATGTGAAATAACCTTCAAATAATAACCTGTTTTGACGACCTAATTCCTTTGGTATGTTGTTTCTGGACTTTCTATAATGACTATTGTCCAAGTATTGTTTATTATGTGTGTGTAATAACTGTACTTTGTAAATTATTTCTGTACTATATATAGGGGTCACAGTAATTGGCACAAGCTGTTGTGGTTCCTAGCCAGTCACTGTATATACATATAATGATAGCAAAGTTGATAAAGTACATCACATTGGCTATGGAGCCTCGTTTGCGTGATGGATATGGGTTGGAGGGAGTCAGAGATGTTTGTTCCTGTGTAAAGATATCAACATATTAAATTAGATCTTTCTTACACATACTTCGTTCAAGACAGGGTAGCCATTTCTCTCCAACTTTGAAAAAACCTTTTGTCCATCGACAAAAATCTCGAATGCACCTTCGGGTCCATTCTTCCCCGTGCACTCAGCCGCGGGCGTTTTACGTCGTACCCAACTTGACATCTCTGCAAAGAGAAGCTTGTACGCTTTCTGGCCGCTAAAAATAACAAAAAAGGATTAAAAATAAGCAGATTTCGATGGACGTCAGTTATCAATGCCAAATCTGTTCTAATTAACTTAGCCGTGAGAAATATTATTATCATGCGCTGAAATACGGCATTAATGATTAATCTGTTTTTGGATGTCATAGCAACACTGTATGTATGATTTCGCAAATACGATTGCGAAGATAAAATACTTGTATCTATAAAAGTATATCATGGTAAAAGTAAACTGGCTTGCAAGCCTTTCTGCGTCGTATGACGCCAGTTTAATTTTTATATAATCAGATAAGCTTGTTTTTAATTAAGGCTCATTTATCTAATGGCAATCGTGATTAATTATTGTGAAAAATAAGATAGACTTCAACACAAAGTCATGTATGTGCTTAATTTGGTTATATTAATTTATTATCGCAGTTATTTTGCGCAGTTATTATACCACATTTTAGGCCAGTGCCCTACGAACTCAACACTGCTACAAACTTGCCTTATTTGGGGTTTCAGGTAAACATTTCAGTCAGGTTTCCGGAGGGATTATTATTGTTGTGCTCGTGCGATACTACACGGAATTTATGCAAATGAAGGATCGAATTAGCCCCAATTGCCTAACATTATCATCTATTTTTCTCATTTCATAAAGATAAGCATGATTTATTTTTACTGACATTGGAAGGTCAAGACCTTTTGTAAAACAAAACCACTGTAGGTTGTATCGCTTCTCGCATCCCTACTGGTAAATGAGTTAATCAACCTTTTAAGCAACGTGCATGCGCAATTATAACGAATATTTTATTCACCTCATGATGAAGGGCCTTACCTTGAAACAATGAAGTGTTTCTAGGTAACTTTATTATACTAATAGTACAGACACAAATCACGGTAGCTTACTCGCACAGCAGGCTGGTCATCACATTCATAATACCACTTTTTATCTATACTGTTAATCCATCCCACGTATCACATATAGTCTATCGAGTTGTAAGTGACTACAAGTGGCAAACTCGCTCGGTATAGACTAATAGACTATAAATAAGTATGTCCATGATTTTAATGAAACCTACCTCATTTCAACAATAACATTAACGTATTTTGGCATGGTTCCTGTACTATTTAAGACCAATTATAACCTTTTCACAGAGACTCGAATACAAACACTGATTCTCAACTTGTCTCCTCAAGCATGAACGACGGACAACAGAGTACGAAATTACGAATACTACCAACTCTTAAAATATTTCTTATTCCGGAATGTGGTAAAGCAAGGTGTGGCAATCTCTCACCAGCCACTTCAAGGGCTTATTCTTTGAACAAATAGTGCGCTTTATAGAACAAACTGAGTCTAAGGGTGTATCCTTCATAGACCTTCATAGACAGGTCTTATAGTATAGTAAATTGTAGCCAGCCGAAACATATACAAGTATACAAGCCATACAAGAGACAAGAGTTCACTCCGCAAGACAGCAAGTTAAGTCAAGTTTAGTCAAGCTCGGTGTGGTTAGTCTGATTATGATCGAGACATTTTTAAATTCTAGCCAAGACCCTTCATGTCCTTCATCAGGAATTCAATATACTTCAAAAACTGTCTAGAAAAGGGCTTTTCTCTGGACAATTGGAAACCAGGCGGTTTTCAATATCAGAAGTCTCAGAGACAAATTTAGATTATATAAAGAAACATGCGCCCAGATACTTATATAGCAAATTAACGGAAATTCATGCGTCCAGGTTATTATAAGATATACAGGGGTTTTAGGCCCTTCGTAGGTCTAACGGAATCATATGAGGAACTAGATTTAATTCCTCAACGGAATATGAAGAATGCAAGTCATTTCTGTATGCCAGTGTAATCCATATCAGTCTTTCGCTCGTTGAAAACGAAGCGTCGTTCTACTTGTATTTTGCAATGCTAAAAATGTACCGTTTAGGATAAGCGGAACGAAGACTATCTGTATTGATTACCAAAAATCGTGACGCGTTTCATGGAAATGATAGGTTACATTAACAAGAGCACTTACCCCATTTCAACAATAATATTCACAGTTTTTGGCATGATTGTACTTCACTGCTCTTCTTGATGGTGAGCTTTTCTTTCTATAGCGCTGACCCTGACGATAGTACTAACAATGTAACAATTATCTGGGCCTGGTGTTCAATCTTTCATCAACTACTTTGGATTTTAATTTTGGAACGTTCTGTAAATGAATGCGCCGCAAAATTTGATACGCCCAAGACTAAATATGGCTATCTTCAGGAGATATTTGTCTCATACTCGTATATAAACATAGGATCGATTTCAAGGGAAACATGTCGTGGTTACCCCATACTTGTAGTAAACTGTGACGCAGTTAAGATGCCAGAAAGGGCAAACAGGGCTCTCTTACCCCAGAGATTTGCAAATGGAAATTTCCAAATGATCTACAGTATACGGCAAATCCCTTCATTGCTTCAACACTATGAATTATAGTTATATCGAGTAACCAAAATCCTCTTTTTTCCCAGTCAAGAATCATAGCCAACATATGTTGGCCTCGCTTGAAACCGGAATTTTTTGAGACCGGATTTTCTTGCAACGCGAGAAAGTGCAGAAAATGGCATTTCCGAGTCTCGGTTTAAAAAATGCTTTCTAGACCCCCTCCCTAGAAATAGTGGTCTCGTCAAATTTCAGCTTTCCTGGTCTTATTTCAGGGGCAAACACTTGCCAAGAAAATCGCAGTTCAAAACATATAGAAATACAATTGGTTGCGTTTCTGTCCGGAGACAAAGAGTCAAAAAATGTTGTCATGAATATTTGCCAGAATTATGAATAGTTGTTACAGTTGGTCTCTCAAGTTGAACGAGCTAGTATCACGCAATTAGCTAGCCAAACCTTAATCAAGGCCAAACTCTGTAACTTACTGATCACTTGGTTGGTATTATATCATGTCAGTAATCACAAAGTACTTGGAATTGGAAATAGGAAAAAATCAGATCATAATTATCAGCGCAGCTTTGTGAAGGTGTGTGGCGACGAGCATTTACTTTCCTTTTTCGAGAATGAATTACGAAAGACATCAAATTATACATCAGTATATATTGACAAAGACAGGGGCGATCAATTTGCTTCTACCAAGGAGATTTACATATCAAGTGCACCCAGAAGGGAGGATGGTCAATTGATTGGTCATATGAGTCCAAATTTAATGAAAATGGAAGTGATTCGTATGTTAGCTGATCGAGGTTTTAAGATAATGGCAAACAGCATGGTTTTTGATCGCGCTGACTATCGTGATCACGAGAGTGGAACAGAAAGACTCATGATGTATAAAGAATTTCAGCAACAAACTGAGAGAAAAGTGGAACACACAAACTAAAGAAAACGATCCAAGATCTTTAGGCATAATCCACACATCTTAAGCCTGGTTTACACTATCAAAGTTTCGGTGATCACCGAGTAGGAATTTTGCAATTTGCATAGGTAAATTCTAAGTTTTAAAGAATTTGTAAGAAATGTTTGAGGAAGGCTTAATGTTAAACAGTGAGTCAGTTTGAATTAGTCAAACATTTCTTACAAATCCTTCAAAACGTAGAATTTATCTGTGCAAAATTCCTACTGTCAATCACAGAAACTTTGCCGATAGTATAACTGAACAAGCCTTTAAGAACATTGGTAGAAAACGAAGGAACCGATATATTATAGACAGTCAGTATACTTATATAATTATCTTAAAAACATTTTCCTATCAGATCTATGCATAATCAATATTATTATATTAACCAAAAAAAGCCAAATCTTGCATGCTTTCTTACTTTCATTAATCTTTTCCTTTTATAGAATTGAAAAAAATTAACTGATTAAACGTGTGTAATGTGGTGTGATTATTTCAATACTAGGAGCCTAGGCTTTTTCGTGTCTGATTTAAACTGATGTTGAACCAAAGCTTTTCTTTCTAGTATTGAAAAGGTTCAGATTTGACTTTTACTACCATTACCTCTAACTGGCTTAGTACGCATTTGATTGGTTAATGGGGTAGATTAAACGCATCTGATTGGTTCCTTCATGGTAGCGGTAGTGAAATCGCTAATGATAATTTATGATAATATATTAGCTGATAATATATTAGACGATAATATATTAGCTGATAATATATTAGATGATAATGTATTAGCTGCAGTGAAAATGTTGCTGTGCAGTTAGGCTTACATTCTGTAACGAATCAATCTTTCATCAACTACGTTGGATTCATTTTAATTATTTGGATTCTGATTAATGCCCATCGAATACGCCAAGACTAAATATGGTTGCCTATATAGATCTATATAGTTGTAAATATATTCGCACTTTTAGTAACTGCCCTGGTCAGGTCTAACATCAACAATTATTGGATAGTGAGCGTTTGTTAGATCATTCACGGTAAGTAAATAGCCGTTGTTCGCCAGGCCAAAAGCTTACTGCGACCCCCTTGGTTCTGCCCCCTACAACTATATTAACCCATTTGCCCCCCTCCCCCACAATAACGATACAAAGATATATTGTCAGGTCAGATTTTTTTTCAACACTCGGGATAGGGGGGAAAGTAATCACAGAAATGGATTACAATTCTACAATGCCTGGCCGGTAATCATACTATAATATTGTAGCTTTATTTAGATATGCAATGCATATTATGAAGGACCATGTAGTGTAGTGTCTCTGATGTAAATATGTTTTTGTTATTTTTTTATGAATACAACGCCCCCCTTGGAAATCAGCTTTCTGCTGTGGGGGTTAGCGAGTGGTGAAATAAAGTTTTACCTACCTACCATCGGGAATAATTTACCATGATCGGCAAAAGCTAAGAAGTGTTATGTTGAAGCTTAGGGGCATTTAGATGCCATTTTCCGTATTTCGGAGATTCCGAGTTTCGGAGATTCCGTATTTCAGAGATTCCGTGTTTCGGAGATTCCGTATTTCTGAGATAAAACAATGCTAAAAAAAGGGAAAACCTGCGATAAAAGAGAAATTCAGTATAACATCATTATTGGACAATGTATTGGACATGTTGGCATGTCCTTAATATTTTAATCTAAGCTACAGTAAAGGGCTAATCACATGCAGTTCGTTTACCATGCATGTGATACTACGGCGAGTACCAAGTTGTATTACGGTCTAATTAAGTACATATAAGACTGCTATTTTGCACTTATCGTATTCTTATTACCATTATCATATTTTCCAAAACTTTCCAAGTTTAGCTAAAATGAACGCTTGGTACTTATTTATTATTATATACTTAGATTATTGATTTCCTCAAAACTCAAATCCCACCGAGAAACGTCGAATCTCCCAAACTCGGAATTTTGCAAACTCGCCCGAACTCGGAATCTCCTTCTCGGCCATCGTAATAATCAATGCTCTGTAATCAATGTCATTCTTATAAAAGCCATTGTTTGTTACAAGTATTGCAATATTAGTATGTTATTATTAATACACGACGAAATATACAATAAATGACAACAAATTAAGTACAAGAGCGGAAGTGTGCGGGTTTCAGTGTCTTGACTGTAAATAAAAATCGTCCATCAACCATATTCCACGTTTTAGCACATGCCGGCCAAATGCAGTTAGATTCCGTCACATGATTGGGCGTTCGAGCAACCTCGTTCCCAGGGTATTCGCTCTTTCCCATGCTGGAATACCCTTGGAAAGAGGTTGGCATTCGAGTTGTGTTCACAATCCGGAAGCACTTCCGGTCGCAACACTTGTCTTGGTAAAAGGAAGCGCTGTGTTTTAGGGAATATTCTACATCAGACTGGATTTCTTAGAATGTCAAAGGCGAAGACAAGGACACAATATGTGTATTTAGAAGTTAAAAAACCTTCAAATGCTCATCAAAGTCCCAGTGCTACACTTTGTGGCCCAGCTACAGTCCTCTTCGGCATTTGTCGCCTTAACTTTAAGAATGATAATGTGACTTGCCAGATATCATCACTGGGAAATACTACGGAGATAAAATTAACAGGGCCACCGCTGACGTTCATGAAAGCAAGTCTTCTTGAAGAAGTCTTAAGCCTTGGATTTGTACCATTATCAAGTATCAAAGAAGATTCCCTTACTTTATTTCGAGAAGTTACATTGTGACTTAACGGTGAACTGTATACGCTTCAAAATGGTTTTGGTTCAAAGAAAATATATCTCGGGAAGTGTGTCTGACCTGTTGAAAATAGCGTTTTGATTGGACATTTTCAAGATTTCATAGGAAGCAAACTTCTTTGATTGTTGACTTTGCCTGATTAGCTTATTATCCATACATGCTTGGACTGCCTATTTACAAAAGCCGAGCACGGAGAGATGGACTGGAGTGGTATGGGTACTAAAATTAAGTGTAGTTCAAACGTTGCTCGGCAATGAATTTAGGACATTTACATTACTCATTACAGACATTAGATTAGATTCTTTACATAAACGTCAATTTGAACTAGCCAAGACACAGATATATTTTAAAGCAGTTACTATACCTTTATTTCTATTAAATAATAAATATATGCGATGACGCATGAATATGAACTCAAATGACGTAAAGACTAAAGTGAATATTATACATAATTCGTATATGGTATATATATATATATATATATATATATATATATATATATATATATATATATATATATATATATATATATATATATATATATATATATATATGTAACATAAAAGTGTATTTCACTAATGAGCTTCATTATTACCAATATTACTGTACTTTATAAAACGTTCTGCATCTTTGTACTGAAGGCAAGATAATAACTTATATAAATGCAACGATAAAACAACATCCACCTTTGTGTGAAAAAGAAATAAAGCTTCACACGAGATTTCAAAAGTAAATTAATAAGAATATATGATCACGTGCGCGCATTCGTGCATGTGATTCATGAGCAACGAGTCTGATGCAGATTTCACAGATCACGTTGTAGTATTGAAAAAGGAACACACAGTCATGTCCATATCTGTTGCTCTACACAGCAACCACAGCTTCGCTGACAGGCATATTAATAACAGCCGTAATTATAGGAACACTCTTTCCTTTGTGCACCACAAACACCTTGATAGCATCAGCTATTCCTTTATCACTGATGCACTCTACCAGGGTTTCAAACACGTATTCAATTCCAGGAATAAGCAAGGGAACAGGTATACAAGGCCTGCTGAGGTTGTAAAGACTTTCTAGGAACTGGAAGGCGATGAGTAAATCAGTGGATGGGGTGTTTGATGACGTATTCTGAAGCTTGATGGTCAGTTTAAATGCTGGACCAAAACCTTGAATATGGGCAGAGACTTTGATAGGTTCACCAGAGGTAGACACAGGGTTAAGACTCTTCTCAAGCGCACTGACATAAGATCTAGCTGCAGTCAGACGAAGTAAACACAGATCACGTTGAAATGTTCTATGCATGCTTGTGCTGTTCTCACGTTCTCGTAATGATTGATCAACAAACAGTTTGGTCTTCTTTGGGATGTTAAGTTTCACTGACTGAGCAGGAGGTGGTCCTGATACCGTATCTTTCTCTTCAAACGAAGCTGTACGCTTTAGAATTTTCACATACATCCCGCCAGCACGCGTGACCAAGATCAAAGAGCTCTCTTCCCGCCCAAATCTTCCAAACTGCATTGCTGTTACTGGCCCATCAACTTGCATAGTACTCAGCAAAAATTTCTCTTTATACAAACGAACTTCGCCATTCTTTAAGGCAACTAAAACAGCCTTAAAGCCTTTTGCTTTGTGGTTTAAGTTGGTCATGGTGGTGATGCTATCTGGTAGATATACAGACCACAGCTTCCGTCCCTTTGACGAGTAGCACACAAGGCTGTTATTCATGCAACCGACAACCAGGGTCTTCCCAATCCGTTCAAGACCAACGATCTGTGATCCAACTTCAACACAGGTGCGTATTGCTTTTCCACCTTTCTTGACTGTATAGATATTTCCATCACGACATGCGATTGCAATACGGAACTCAACATCATACAACCCTGACACTGATACAAACACTGGAACACTTGGTAGGCTCATCTTTGCAAGAACGGTGAAAGCTTCAGGATCAAGGATGTAGATATCTTGGCTTTCTGTTCCGACAACAAGACAACTGATTGCATCATCATCTGGCATGGTTTTCTTCATAGTGCTCATACATGTGATCACAGTCTGCCGTTTCAACGGAGCAGACTTGTGAAGCTTTGCAAAGGCTTCGAGCTCATCTTCCTCAAGCTGGAGGAAACGAAGAGAGCGGACGGTAAGGAGCCCCTCGCTGCCTTCATTTTGTAAACTTTCCAACATTTCTCTCAGGATCTTCACATCAATTTTGTCATCCCGAACTTGACTCCAGAGATCTTGCTCAACAGAATTCACTTCAAGCGGAGGTAGAGTGAATTTGAAATAGGGACGCAGGTTTTTGTAGACATAAATAAAGGGCCCTGAAGCGACTGCAACTGCTGGTGTCCGTGGTTCATTAGTATCCATGTAAAATGTCACCAAACCTGTCGGGAGATCAATAATGGAACTCTCTACCATAAGATTGGTTCCTTTGAAAACTTTGAGTTTCATTTCATGAGTTTTGTTTCCCAAGTCTGCAACCAACAGCTTGTGGTCGCCATCAGCATGAAGGTCGGCAAGGGATAGACATGATGTGAAGGTATGTAAGGACGACACTGGATCATGATGAGCATCAAGCCATATGCTATATCATTTAAGAATTTGGTTTAAATGTAGAGATTGCTGGGGTTTTCTGTATAACTGCATTATTAACAGTTTACTGTACTCGTTTGTGCAAGCGTTTGATGGCATGTTTCTGATGGTGTATATAAGCTAGTTCAGTATTGTGATTGCATTTTTAAATAGCAAAAGAGCCTCTGGTCACATTGGTTGCCAATCCCACTTCCGCACTTGATTAGGTTCAGAATTTGAATCTCGCATGTGATTGGCCATTTGTATAAAAATATGTCAAACCGGTTTGGGAAATAAACATTACTGTAAGCTAATTATAACCATTATAGCTACAATTAGCTTACAGTAATGTTTATTTCTCAAACCGGTTTGACATATTTTTACAAATGGCCAATCACATGCGAGATTCAAATTCTGAACCTAATCAAGTGTGGAAGTGGGATTTGCAACCAATGTGACCAGAGGCTCTTCCTTCTCGTTTCTTTTTGTTAAGATTTGTGTATTGCTGATGTGGAAAATAGAGTGTGCAAAGCGAACAGTTTTTTTTCATAAACTGACAGGTGCTTCCGTATAAAATATTTTGCATAAAATTTACTTCTAAATTCTGTGAATAAATATACAGTATAAATTTATATCATAATGGTCACAGCTTATTATAGAAATATTTCAAAAAGTTGATTGTTCTTCTGTTAACAGTTATATAAAATCAACAGGCCGTTCTACTTTTAAAATAAGATATAAAATATGAATTTCAGACAGCACTTGAGCACCATAGCAACAAAATGTAACGATGAAATACAAAACTATTGCATAAAAATAACTATTTAAAATACTCACTTTGCTTCCTTGTTGCGTTTATTGTCTGTATTAGCATTAGGAGCAGTCATTCTCACTGAACGTTTGCACAAAATGAAAAAAAAACTAAGAAAAAATCATTTCAAAACAAAATGCAGTTTATAAATTTTGTTGAACTGAAACAACCTGTTCGCAGGCTGTCTGTTATTCGTGTATTCGCGCGTGTGCATCACGCAGAACAAAAACAAATTATTTACAAATTTAAATACCTCGTAAAAGTGTATTATATTGCAACTTTTATCAGTGTCTAGCAGTTTTTTTATGCAATAAAATTCCACTGTTTTATGCTGGAGTAAATTAGTTTCATATTGGTGTATTAAATGGTTTGGATCAAGGTTTAATTTTGATGTCGAATTTCATGGCATTTTGATGGGTAATAATAGTACAAGCCAGTCGACTATACCTGACAGTTTGAAAATTTCACCTTATTTTAAGTTCCTGTCAAAGTTTTTCCAGGTAATAACCAGCCCAATCCAATCTAATAATTTTTGAAAACATGGATTGTATCAGAGCATGGTACTAACACAATTACAATAAATTATTATAATAATAAGAATTTAATTGTGACATTATAGGATATTTCAACAGTTATTAAAGACGGTTCAAGAATTGTTACAATTTCCAAGTTTAAGGTGATTTATTTATTGCCAACTGTGTTTAATATTCGACATGTTAGTTAATCATTAACTAAATACAAGTTAATCATTAATTTAAAAAGTATATCATTCATCAAAATAAATAATATTTTATATAAATATATCATTTACATTTTATCAAGCAGGAGGCATTTGCAGATGACAATGTGTCTATCGTCGAGCTGCTATACAAGTATTTCATTGTCATAGCAACAGATCATGTTTGTCATGAAATGCAGAAAGTTTCGTTTATCTCTGGGTTTAACAAACTACTAAAACTAGGTAAATACACTTCCATGGAAGATCATGCAACCAATCAATCCATTTCCCTCTAATTTGTTGTTAAATATTGCTGTGTTACACGTGCATCCTTGTGCCACTGGGACTAAGCTAGATTATCAGCAGTGGCCTTGAGTCTGGGGTTAGTGATCCTTTTCACATTCCACTAGCCCTGGAGGTAGGCCATATAGGAAGCAGGAAGGCTGGAGCCCCCAATATTTTAGCTTCCCCCCCCCCGAAAAAAAAATTACACTGATCAGCCAATTAATAATAATCCATCCTGACACATATATAGCATAGACTCAAAAATCATAATGAAAGAGCTAACATAAGGGTAAAACAAAATCAAAAGCAATCCCATTGTAGACTCACGCCCATATTCCAAAAGCCCACTCACACTCAATGAGTGGAGGTTCAATCTGAGCTTTTCTCGAGTGTCATTGCTGTTTTTGAATAGCTGGAGGGTTAGTAGTCACATAGTAAGGTATGACACTGACCCTCCAACTATTCAAAAACAGCATTGACACTCAAGAGAAGCTCAGATTGAACCTCCACTCACTGAGTGCGAGCTTTTAGAATACGGGCGTCAGACTTTCAATTTTTGGCAATAAATTTAGAATATGGATCACAAGATATGGCAGCATTTTATATCGAGGTGTTTAGTGATGGGAAAGTGGAATTGACTGTTAAAGGTATACACATGAAAATAAATAATGCTAATATTATCATTGGTATACACTAAAGATTACCAAGAGTCTTCCCCATTATCCTAGTAAAAGGCCTGGGTGCAAGTTTGTGGCATTGGAAAAATGTTCGAAGGGCTTACAATTTTTGCAAAACTTTCATATTTCTTGCATTTTCGATTACCTTCTAAGGCAGTATCTATTGTAGTCGTGTCCTCATAGTATTCTTTATATAAAGAACACTAATAAGGCAGTATATCTATTGAATTTGTAGTCGTAACACTCATGCTAGTTTATTAAACAATACTTAATACATCTCCAAATTCAGTTATTATTCTTGTCGTTGAATCGTCAATGCCGTAAAATGGAGAATATATTCATATATAATAAAGCTGCTAATACGAGAATTTATCCATATAAAGTCATAATCTATTGCATTTATAGACATTACAGCCATTCTCTGTAGTGTTCATTCAGTTCAATTGAAACAAGAAAGAAATCATTTGCCAGAATCGGACACACATTTTGAAGTGCTTGCAAAAAGTTTGGTAAATATAATAATGCTGTTCTTACATAAAATTACGTTTTAATTAATGTAAACAACATGAAATTGAAAAACAACTGTAAAATTTTTACCTTTAATATACTAGTTCTGCAAAGGAGCAGATTTGGTGAATAGAAACGAATGTGTCAATCAAGTATTTCAACTTTGGCCAAGATTATTCAATCACGTTCATTCCTGGATTTTGAGATCGCTATCAAAACAAGAAGGTTCAAATGACATTGTCCTTCATAAACATGTAAGGCATGGCAATCTCTTTCTATGCTTAGCAACTTTTTTTCCTGGAGTGTGTCCTTTTTTCTAAAGAACTCACCACCATTCTCTTGATGTTATAACCATTGCACAATTTTCAATGACAATTTACTTGCAACAAAGCAAAAAGTGTCAAAGGAGGGTCAAGAAATTGCGAGTTTGGTCCACATTCTACGTGATGAAAATGTCGGCAGAATATACCGTGGACCATACTCACAATTTCTTGGCGACAACTTTTTTAAATAACATGGCTCTATGTCAGAAATTGCGTTGCAAGTTGCAGTCAAAATTCCCTCGTGTAAATGCTGGTTTACACAAAGTTCCTGTGATCACAGTACGATTTTTACATGGGTAAACGAAGTTAAATTAATGAACTAAGCAAAGTTCCTACTGTGTCTGTGATCAGAGAAACTTTGCGAGTGTAACCCAGTTTTAACATGGCCTTATGCCCCATGGTTTCACCACAACCCTGGCCCAGGGTTGAAGGTGTTACCCCCAGACTCTGGTGGGCGGGAGCGTCCATTTTCCCGTAGCAGGTGAAGACAATCGTCTCTCCTACCCCAGTGCCCATAAAAACAAAGGAACAAATTCAAATAACTGAAATGTTTAAAACTTTCAGGACTGCACAAGAATTCAACTGCAGAGTTCGTCTGATTCTCACGGCATACTTGATCCAATTGCATTGTGGCTTCTCTCCGTTTCAATCCCTGCTCTTTATTTAAAAAGTTCCCGAGAGAGCGAGAAGAAACATGTAAGAAAACAAACTTCTGTGTTTAAAAGTATTAACCCTACGCGTTTTATTAAAATACATCCATGAACCACACTTGCAACTATAAAGAATTTCAAAGATGCGTCTGTTGAGATATTTTGTAAGATGTCAGTTTCAATTTTATTGCTGTTTATGGCTTGCCAGCTTTGATTTGTCACTGAAGACAACAGGCAAATGTGAGTAGTCAATTAACCCATGTAGACCCACTTTTTATAAAACTATAACTACAACAACAAAATATGTATTTCACTCATTCAATTAAAATTTACATGAATATATATAGAAATTGAAATATAAATAGCATATGAGTACTGACCGTCTATAACAACCATAGGGGCTAAAGTCTAGACAGCCAGTATATTTTAGGTCGGTACGATTACTGAAATACAACACAACGCGACAGAGACACATAATTATAGCCTATTCAATATGAAATAAAATTAAACTAGTATTTTTCAAGAATTTTCTCCTTATTCTTTTTTTAAACTTCCTTAATGGAAGAGTTTTAGTACTTTCAGCAATTGAATTCCATATTTTGGTGCCCTGGAACCTATAAGCATGAACATTCACACAGTTTTTTTCAAAACTGCTAAAGAAATCTGCAGCAATCAAATTAACTTATGACATGATTTTCTATCACTATTTCTAATTATTCTTAAGGAGGAATATTTTACGAGTGAATTGAGAAAGCTGTATGATAGCAATGAACATGGCCTTAGTCATAACAGGTACAGAAACACACGTCTGATAAATCTCTGCTGTTTTCCTTTTTCACTTCCAATTTTGTTGTTTTTACCATAGAATAATCTGTAAATATTGTTGCTTAGGTTTAAACATCATTGCTTTTCCTACCGAGGACCTACTTTGATGGCAATTTTGTTGGGAAACGATGTAACACTTGTCTTAGCAATTGATGTTGAGTGGAGGTAAATTATATGAAGTCATTGCATTGGAGTGACACGATACTTCAAACTGTCCATAATGCCTTAACTACAGCTAAATTAGAGCTTCAAACAAGAAAACAGAAATTGTTCATTTTGGGACTCCTGCCTACCGCCACAGGTTTGGTACGAATAATCATCGCTTCTTCTAAAATTGATTCTCTTTTAGAGAATCGACAAAGTGTTTTGGAGACACTGCTACACGACTATATCAAGTCAGTCCACAGTTTAAACTTCTTTCTGGTAAGATATAGTGTCAATTGCTTTCAACATGCGTTTAAATCGCGGGCTTTTCATAATAAGATACCAGTTATATCGCTCCCTCTTGTGATTCTAGAAAAGAATATCGTTTTATTTAACGAGAGAACTCGTGGCCTTCCAGTTGGTCTTATCTTAGGAAATAATCTTAGCAAACCACAAGTATCTTTATTGGATGGACTGACCTCGGCCAAGCTTGGTTACCTTGGAGGCGAGGAAACGTCGGTACAAAAAATGCAGGTAAAGCACTAAACAAACTTTTTAAGTTTGTTTGCCGCTTGGGAAACGTATCAAAAAACAAATGAATATATAGCCATAACCAAGTGGAAATATCATTAGTTTTGAGCGCGTGTTAAGTAACATACAAAATATTCTCCTCTCAAGGTCTGGGGTTGTGCTGGCGTAAAAGCAGAAACTGCTCAAAAACAACAACAAAATTGGGAGAAACGCCAAGCTGAACAATTACAAAAGGTAGTGGAGCACGAATCTAGATGATTTAATATTGCTTTCAAAATTCATACATTTATGTATTTGAGCGTTGTGGTTTGTTAATTGTTATGCATATAAATCTCACATTATGTCACTCGTGTTTTTCAGGTGAAACTCCCAGGGGCCTGGGACGAGAATCCTGACAAAGCAATCTTGGATATGGCAGGAATCACGACTGAGCATGCGCGTAGATAAATAATTTTAACACAATTGCAATACACCGTAGGTATACGAGAGCAGGCATGCATTTGAACTTACTTGCACCTCAGAAAATATATTGTACATTCCCAAATAGATATATTTATAGTAATGAATGTAAATTATTAATTTCGTGATTACTTCTCTCCCAATGTGACCATTAAACTGCTTCTTCAGCCGACGTTAAAAGCGGATTCACGTATTCAAATCCTTCGAATTCTGATTGGTCGATCGTTTCCAGTAATTTCCTAAAATAGAAACAAATGTTTAACACGTTTACGTTAACAGTTTGTGAATGCAATGGCCAAAGACAAAATTCTGTCGATGCAAATTGATGATGTAAATTTCTGATACGATGTTGAAATTTTGCAACGTCTTAAAACCGTCTGTGTAAAATGTCACTTGTGCCGTCCCTTACTGCAACTTGTCTTCTAGTTGTGTTGTTAGTTTTTGCTCTAGTTTTACCTAAAAAGTAACTAGTCTGTATCAATGTTTAATGTTGTCTGATAGATTTGTTTATTTTTAGAGACCCCGTATAATGGAGCTTAAACTCTGTGGGACTTCACTGCCACTTGTGGCAAAACTTGTAAATAAATGAATAAATAAATTGGATGTCTTGCTTCTACAAGTAAAGTTGTGTACACAAACTCAGCGCAGAGTGCATATACACTATGACGTTGGCTGCTCGAGGTTTGCAATCTTTGAGTGCCCTCTAGTTTATATGTTTTATAAACAATTATATAAAGGCCATATTTCTACTTACGGATCGTCAGGTGTAAGTATAACAGGCTCAGCCGTAAACTGTGGATCAAAATTATCAACTTCCTGACCATCTTCCACTCTCGGTTTAAACGGCGGAGTAACTTGACGTGCTTCAAGCTTTAAAATAAACATGGTATTTTAACTTGATTTACACAGGATAGCTCTTCTGTCAGTTCTAAACTGTTCTCCCTAGAAATCCAGTGAGATCCTTTTTCTGTCCAGTGGTTACAACAGGAGGAAAGCGGAGTACCCGAAGAATACCAATGGGGTTTGGTAGTCTACTCGCACGCGACTGAAGTGTAATTATAATCAAACAACAAGATTGGGGCATCTCGTTCGATTACGATAGAACTAATAGCTGAGGGGCTTTTGTAGATGTAAATTTCAACCAGAGGTTTTATACAATTTTAGACATCCAGAATTGAGCTGGACATACCTGTTTCCAGTTTATAGCTCTGAAGAATAAATGCGACTGAATATCCGCAAATCCTGTTTGTGGATGACAGCCTAGTCTGTCTTCTGGACTCTAACAATGAAAGAATAAAAGAGTAAACAACGCGTGTGTGGGCCTTGCGTTTTTCTAAGAAACATAGTGGAAAGAAAATAACCTTGTTTAGAAATCCTTTAAGGATCGACGCAGCTTTCACGGAAAGCGATCTTGGAATTCGGATAGATTTTTCAAGAATCACTAAAAGAGATCAAAACTTTTTAACTAGGCGTGTTATGAAATATTACGCGCATGCAAATTTTCGTTAATGAAAAGATTTAATAATTATAAAGGACGATTTACACTAACACAACTTTTGCCTAAAATTGTCGTACGCAACCTGCTTAAAGCTACGTTTACACGCTGCGATTAATCGTGTACGATTCGTTTTCTGGCGTATGTCATCGAGTAAACACGCGTAAGCTGGGTACATTTGAAATCTCTTTTAACGAAACGGCAATGAATTATGGCGCCAGCACTCATTTTAATACGCCAGAATACGAATCGTACACGATTAATCGTAGCGTGTAAACAAAGATTAGATACTATAAAGATGTGTCACTCTGCGAAAATTATGTCCGAGATTTTTTTATAGCCGCCATTTTGCCAGTAAGTGTCAAATTCGTCAAAATTCGTCATATAGCGCGAGCATCGCGATGGCAACCTATTGTATTCAGTCTCGCCGCCATTTTGGCAGTAAGTGTTATGCACTCGTCATCTCGCGTGATCACTCGTGATCAGCACGGAAAATTACGGACACGCAAACATTAGGGAAATACGTCGAGTGACACATCTTTATAGTATCTAATCTTTGGTGTAAACGTAGCTTAAAACGTCGTAGGTGAGACGGTGAGTTGTGTGTTTGATTTACACTCCAGTGCACCTCAAGTTGCATGCAGGTTGCATGCGACAGTTTTAGGCAAAAGTTGTGTAATGTAAGTCAACTTTAATGAAAGCACTTTGTGCAAAATAATGTAGTCTTACCCTGGAAGAGATAGTCTTCAGTATTTTGATCCGGGTTATCAGCATGGCCCACAATATCAAAAGGTGATCGACCAGCCAACATTTCAAACAACAGAACTCCAGTCGCCCACCAGTCTACACTTAAACCTGACGAAAATATCTGCGATTAAGACCCAGGCACATGGGCGGATTTACTGGGGGGGGGGGGTTAAAACCCCCTAGAATCTCTCTAACCCCCCTTCAGGGTGTCCACCCTTTGGTGAAGGTGAAATTCAACAACTTTTCCAGGAGTTTCAAGGCCCTTTTTCAGTAAATTCAAGGACCTAGAACTGGAAAAAACCTTTGAAAATGGCACGGATTTGCCCAGCAAATAATTCACTTTATTCAGTAATTTTAATCAAAATCACTAATGTTGGCACAGCTGGAGGTTAAGGAAATTAATTCCAGGACTTTCAAGGACTTCTACTGATTTTCAAGGACTTTCCAGTGCTGGAAAATTTTTTTTCCAATTCAAGGACTTTCCAGGATTTTCAATATAAATTTTCAATTGAAAATCTTGGAAAATCCTCTTATAAAGTGTTCAACCCCACCAAAATTTCGCTTCACCCCTCCTATTTCACCCCCCCCCCCTAACGCCTAACCCCTGCACCAGAATTTTTTTCACCCCTCCTTTAAAAAATCCGCCCTTGCTCAGGCACACCGAATGATCAATACAAGACAATGGAAAGAAATTGATCAGGAGGATTAAGGTAAAAATTGGCTAGATTTTGTATAGAAAGTAAAGTACCGTACAGTATCTTACCATAATCTTCTCCTCTGAGAACTTCAGGTGCTATGTAATTCGGTGTTCCACAGAAAGTACTTGTTGTATCACCGGGTCGCAGACCTTCCTACAATCATAGAAAATACTTGATAATCAACCACGGAGTATAAACCTCCTTCAAAACATGAAATTACTTCAAAACTCATCAAAGTTTGATTACGTCAGATGACGTCACTTTGATCACAGAAACTTCGATGATACAAACCAGTCTTTATCTATTTACAAACCTATTTAGATGAATAAAGATGTAATGTGAGGGTCAGTACCTTGCACATGCCATAATCTGTTAGCTTGACATGACCATCCTTATCCAGTAGTACATTGTCTAACTTCAGATCTCGATATATAATTCCTATATATAGAAAAACAATGAGACTAAATTAAATTATATATCATTCTATTCTTTCTTGTAAGAAGCGCAGTCATGCCTCGTGAAAATTATTGAAGAGAAGTTCAATTATTCAGATCTTACCGTTTTCATGAAGGTAATTCAAAGCACAAGCAATTTCAGCCGAGTAAAACCTGAAAATAATTAAAAACTGGTTACACACTGCTAATGCAGATTTACACTACACAACCTTTGCCTAAAACTTTCGCATGCAACCTGCTTACAACTTGAGTTGTACTGTGTAAATCAAGCACACAATGCTTATTAAACAGTATAACTCAAGTTGTAAGCAGGTGGCATGCGACAGTTTCATGCAAAGTTGTGCAGAATAAATAGGCCTTTAATTTAAATATCTTCCTAAACACAAGATATAGCAAAACATAGGAAAAACGAAGGCTGAGCATGAGGTTATAGTTTCGACCAAGCCCTCAACAGTTTATTGAAAAAGACAAGCGTTCACGCAAACCTTGCATGGTCTTCTGGTAGTCTTCTCTGGTTCTGCATGTGAAACATAAGATCTCCTCCCGCCACAAACTCAATGACAAAAAACAATCTGCTGGCCGTCTGGAAACACGAATGTAGACCGACTAAAAACGGATGGTTCGACGCTTGTTCAAAGACATGTTTTTCTGTTTGTACCCAGTCGATATCCTACAAAATACAACAGTAGTGGCTTATGTAACTGGCTGACTAACACGACTGACTGAAAAACAGAAATAAGAAAATACAAAGTTCAAGACTCTAAGAAATTACTGCTGACCTCGTCATCATTGACAAGTTCTTTCTTCACAATTTTCATCGCGTATTTTCTTTCAGTTTTCTTGTGACTAACCTGGGAAGCAAACACAATATTCTATAATTCTATTCAGAAAATATTTCAAAATAAGCTGGGGGCTACTGGAGCTCTGGGAGCTCTGGCGGGTGACACGAGGTTTACCGCCAGTTACTTTGTTTAGTACTTGAAATAACAATTCTGCCCTCCTTCCTCCACTCTAAGCTTTCAAACAAAGTTATTTTTCATCAACCTGATTTACTTTATAGCCTGGTTATTTTAGAAAACGACGTACTATTTCGTAAAACTGATTTAGTTATTTGCCATCTTAAATCTTGAAGTTATCTTGTTGAAAAATGAAAGTAGTGATACATTATAATTTGGTTCCAGAGCTCAGTTATGTTGCTATCTAATCAATATACACTTAGGATGACTTTAGGACTCCCTAAAGCGCTCCCCACAGCCGCCTATATTATCAACACAGCCACTACTCCAGGCCTGCAAATTAGTGCCGGTCATCGGACATTGTCCGGCCACAATTTACCTTTTGTCCGATCAAAGCTTTTTAAGATCGGACATGTGACCGACCGATTTAGGCAGGTCAAATCTCCAATCTCAAAAAATTGTTTATTTAACACATTTTTTATTAATAAAACCAACAAGAAAGCAATATAAACAGCACTTCTTCACTATTTCTTGCTGCGTTAATTAAGGTTAAACTGTAAGATTTAATTAAAAATCTGCATCACCTTTGTTGTGTAACTGGTAGAAATTAAATTTACTTTGTCCATTGTCCTGCAAAAATTGATAAATGTCCGACCAATTTTTGGCTTGGCCAGATATTTGTCCTTCCAAGTAAAATGATTATTTGCAGCCCTGTACTCAGAATAACTCTGAAAGCCCAGTTACTATTGTTCTGATAACAATACAACCATTGTTCACTACAGTCATTGTTCTGGTGGGCATTGTTCTGATAACAATACAACCATTGTTCACTACAGTCATTGTTCTGGTGGGCATTGTTCTGATAACAATGCAAGAATTGTTCTAATAAAGCTATTTTCTGCAACAATACAAACCCTAAATCAGAACCTCATGAGCTATTACAATCCACATTTTAAATATAAATATATTAATGCTAATATGTTACTCACATATATAACTTTAGCATAACTTCCTCGACCAATAACGCGGATGAAATCAAAATCATGTACATTCACATGGGATTTACTTGTTTCCAAAGCCTGAGAAAAGGTATGTATCGTCATCCCATATGCCACATAATAATAAAAACAAGTCAAAATTATAATATACTAATTCCTACTAAAATATTTGTTATACTCCACTTACACTTTGTGAGGCTGCAAAGGAATTGCTGTACGCGTTTTGTAAGAGAGCTTTGCGATGTCGTTGTGGGCTGTCGCTTTTCGCTGTTAAAAAAAAGAGAGAGGAATGAGGTCAAGAAGGAGAGATGGTATATAGTATTTGCGTTCTCCTTTGGGTTTCTTTGCTCTCCTTTGTGTTTCAGTGTTTCATTAATACTAGAATTCTAAGTTTACTCACTCCTCTTAACGCCAGCGTCGTGCTCTTTTCCCGACTTTCCTGGCCCAGCAGAATTTGACGGCAACGAGGAATAAGCAGCAATCTGACTCTGAATACAGAAAATAAGATATCCACTTAATAGTCATCCAGTGGCCGACACTAAGTAGTCCTCCCCCCAGAATTTCTGAAAGCCTTTGAATGATAGCGGAATAACCGTGTAACAAAGCTGGAATAATGTTTTTTTAGCCATGAAAACGTTGCTAGGCTATAACTTGATTTAAAAATCCCTCTTTTTTTCTTGATTGATTTTCTATAAATTAGTAGATGATTTTCGGTAATTGATTATCTTAATTTGAATTTACCCCTTGAGCAAGTAAATTAGTTAATTGTTCAATTTAGTTTTGTATGTACAACGTAATCTTTGTCTTGTCATGTTTTGGTCGATCTTTTTTATACGACTGTTAAACAATTAAAAAAACACACAAAAACTTAAGCTCTCTATTGCATGACATTTAAGGCTAAAAAGTTCAAAGAGCTGAGATTTCCAGCTGCAAAAGATGGTCATAAGGTGGCAACCTACCCCCCCCCCCAATATTTTGCAGTATCCCCCACTGCAGGTGTAATCTAGTGTTGCAAGCACTGACCACAGAGCTACCAATACACTAAACTCACCCTAATCTGATCACAATCATGACGTAAAAGCCGATGACACTTCTTATGTACTATAACTCGACAGTCCAAACATTTGTAACCCTAAGAAAGACAAACAGATATTCAATATCAATACGTATACTGAAAAACGATCAATATGCAAATGTTACAGAAAAAGGACAGTTGAACTTAAGCCCGGATGAGAGTGCATGAGAGTTTGCAGTCACGCGAGCTTGGTTAGTTGTTCTTAATGCTTTCCCAACACTGTCATGTATTGAAACGCTCATCAAACCTTTAGTTTCTCAATCTACAGGGTGTATCAAAAAAAGCGCAATCCTCGACTGAAATGTAAATTGCTAAACAAATAATAGACGAATACGTTAAAGTTTACATTCATTTTAAAGCGTAGCCATTCAGCTTTCTAACAGTGGGTTGTTTCTTAAGTTTGACTCATTGGTTCGCGGGTAATAATACTTTACGTTATTGCGATTGGAGATTAAAAAAATTGAGATGGAATAACAAATCGTTCTCATGAAAATAACTGATTTTTTCATTAAAACAAAAAAATGTTGCATTTTATTAAATGGATTGTAACAATAAGCATAATTACGGCTTTTCTTCCACTATTTTTAACTTAGTTTGAAACTTCAAATGCGATATAATTTTGGCTTGGACCATCTAAGCTTACTGACATCAACTTGCTATAATTTCTGTTTACATTACATCGCAATTCGATGACACTCTGGCTCAGACACCAGAATGTTTTGACGATTTTTAGCATTCGTTTAGGATTTTCAAACAACCTGGTCTCTTTTAAAATACTTTTAATTTGTTCTTACGTGGTTTTCCGGATGTAGTGACGACAACATTAAAGTTTAAAGAAGAAAATTCTAACACTGAAACTGACTAAACAATAACATAGTAAATTTGCATAATTAAACAGCAACTAAAAATGATAAGTTTTACTAAATCTTTTCCTGTGCAATTATTACTAGCATTGGAGACAAGGATAATAGTTTGTTTGAAAGAGAAAAGAACAGGCTTTGAAGTAAGCCTAAAAGCGTTTAACTAGAAATAGTATTTCGAAAGTTATTAAGCACAAAAGATGAATTGCGTTTATTTTGATACACCCTGTAGAGCTTGAAAATTAAAATATGTCCCCTGTAACAATAGACAATTCCCATTATAGACTAATTTTACAACTAGGCAAGGAGATGCAAATAAATCACCACAGCTAGAAAGAGCGTACGAAAATTAGTACAATTGCAAAGTGTGGTTGCGAAATGTTGTAAAATGCGGAAAATATAGCCATGCAAAGTTTGCACATTTGGGCCCAAATGTGGTAGGAATTTCCGCACGCAATACAAAAGTATACAAAATTTGCAAACTTTGCAAGGCTATATTTTCCGCATTTTACAACATTTCGCAACCACACTTTGCAATTTTACTAATTTTAGTACGCTCTTTCTAGCTGTGGTGATTTATTTGCATCTCCTTGCCTAGTTTTAAAATTAGTCTATAATGGGAACTGCATGTCTATTCATGTCAATCCTCATCCTCGATTCATCGGGGCTTCAAAGTGATTGCAAGACAGAACATACCTGTCGACCCAGTCCCCAGATTATATCAGTGCAGTACTCGCATTGTGCAAGCTAAAAATATAAACAAAAAATATAAAGTGATCATTCGTGCATGCAATGCACACGTGCACTAAATGATCAATACTCACCCTACTGAATCTTCTAGCTACAAAAGAATGTCCATTAATTTTGTAAATTTTTCTCCATCTTCTCGCACCACGACGATAAATATTTCCTGAAAAAATAAAGTTTTATATTAACAGGAGACGTAGATACATATGTAATAATATCACAACTTGTCAACAATATGTGTTCGCAACGGGCTTGTAGCAAGCCTGTCAACAAGTTCTAACAATGCTGTTATTTTACCAAGTTGCTACAAGCTTGTCACTCACAACTTGTTGACAAATCATGAATATTGTAGGACGATAACAAGTTGTTCGAACAGCTTGCAACAAGTCTGTTGAGCTCGACAACTTTGTAGCAAGTTGTCAACAAGCCATTGACAACTTGTCAATAAGCTGGGAACAAGCAGTGCGAACACATCCTGATGACAAGTTGTTGGAACAGCATTGCTACAAGTCTGCTGCAGTTTTGTTACAACGTGTGCGTTTTTACGTGTATATATGAAATACTCGCATATTAAATATTTAATGCTTTGGCGAAAGTCGAATAGGGCTTCTTCGTCAATTCCGGTTTCCTCCACGCAAAACAGCACAATGCCATCCTCTCAATAAGTAAATAAGCAAGTCTTTTCTACACTAAACAGCCCATCCCTTGATAAATGACGTCGACGCATCAAGAATCATTTAATGACGCAATTGCATGCTTCGTGTTAACTAATAAACGAGCCTACTGCGCGCCAAAATTAAAATACATTAAATATTTTATTTATAATCAAATAAACAATAATAAGATTGACGGTACTGATATTGCTAATATACCCTTTGTGTCTTGAGCGGGCTTTGCTCGGATATTAGGTGCGGAATTTATTTTATGTAGTCGTCGCTTCTTGGGATCACAATTCACTGTCGTTCGTTGCTCGTTTTCATTCTTTTGCTTAGCATGTTGCTCTGAACATCCTTTTGAACATTGTTGTGGTAAATTTTGCTTCTTTATAAATAAGCCTAATATATAACCGGACGAGAATCGGTTCCTCTTGGGAGTACTGGCGTTCACTTCCTTAGCCAAGGGGGCTAATGGAACAGTTGTCTTATCTTCAAAAGAACCGTCGCTTTCACTCGAGGAGAATTGCGATTCTTCGCAAAAACTTGGCGATGGAAAAGCTCCAACAGTATAGCGTTTCTGTCGACTTGAATCAAACCTTGTCAGTTGTTGAAAGCTTTTCCAGGTATTAGGAAATGTTGGAGAGTACTCCACGTCACTAACTCCTGTTGAATATCTCCTGAAATTGATTGTGAATTCACTTCTGATGCTTTCATTACTCTGGTTACGCATCGTTTTATTTTTTCCTACCATAACGCGTTTCTTTCAACTGCTAGAAAGACTGTGTCTTTAGTTTAAACGTGCTATACACAATGTGCTGTATCTTCAAATGTGCAATGCGAAACGTCGGTTGACATCTATGATTTCGAGTCAATTGTATTCGACAACTCCCTTGACGCTCATATAACTTTCACGTGAATTACTAACGCCTCCTTAACGCCTTTAAAATACGAGTCGATTCCAAATGATAAAAGAGAAAGCTTTAAACTCAAAACCCTTTTCTATGCATGGCTTTAATAAGCTTCATAACATAACTACTTCTTTTGACAGCTTTCACGTGAAGAGCTATCCCGCCATAGCTCTTCTTTAAAGACTGTGCCTTCAGACGTCCAAGAACTTGGTATCCAAGACCCTTTGAGACTAGGTATAATTCGTATTTTCCAATAATTTGCTATAGAATATATCTTGAATTTAGACGTGCTATGGAACGAGTGGCGATATACTGTATATAGACGTGCTTTTCAATCAACTTCCAACACGAAATGCAGCCGTTGATATCATTGATTTCGAGACAACGTACTTCACCGAACTCTAGTACTGTACCTCTTGTATAAACTTTCACGCCTTAAAGCTCAAACGACTTCGCCGTACAAATCGATCACGAATGATAAAATAGGAAGCTAATTTAAACTCAAAAGCCTTTCCGAAAGTATGGCTTTCCAACTTTCCAACAAAACTCCTTGTTGTGATAGCTTTTACGTAAAGTCTTCTAAATTATCTTAAATCTTTCAAATCGAAATTGAATTTAAAATCTTTTACAATAGAAATGCTTGGATAAGTAGAAGTTAATTCGCACAGCGAACCCTTAAACTTGAATTAAGAGCTGGGTATCCGTGCATGACCGGACTATACAGCCGTACGTGTTCACAACATCCGTTCCCGAGAACCACGACAATTCAGACGCATGACATACGGTCTGTCAATTTTCACTTTTTTTCTAATCCAGTCTACTTCATTTTTCTAATCCAGTCTACAATTCACACCAGCTGCATAATTGGACTTTCACGATGTTAAATAGCAACCCTTATCAATAATCTAGAATGCCTATTACATTCTCACAATTTTAAATCGTTAATGAAGCGTATCCAATGACATAACGGTTTGTTTTCAAAAGTGATTTTGGAAATATTATTTCTTGACACAATGTTATTGCAAACATAAACTGCCCACATAGCGATGGATCAGTTTTTGACCACAAAATAACAGAACATAATAACCTACGTTAATTATGCATGATAATAACGGTAATTAATTATGCATGATTAAGAATATTGCTTCTCAGACAGGTGAAAGATGCCAACATATTCGTATGAATTATGCAGTGTGTATGTATGTGATAATAACAAGAAAATGTTCTGGAAAAATATGCTGATAACTTGACTTAAATTTCATATTACGGATTAAAATATCTATTAAAATGTTGACTGCATGGTACAATCCATTGTTTGCTAGTGCATAAAATAAGTCGGTAATAATTATTGGACAACAGAAAATTAATCCACCATTACTAATCACTAAATACAGGATATGTCTACACTAATCCATTTTCATATTGTTTCAAGACTTAGACCATTGTTCTTGAAAACCCTTGAAAAAAACAGATTAGTGTGGACTGCATATGGTTGGTCTCTTAGCAATGGCCAAGTTCATCAGTTCACTTAAGGTGACTATGATGTATTTACCAGTTTATAAGCTAACTTAAGGTAGCTATGTACTTATTAATTTATCAGTTAAGGTGGCTATGATGTAGTTATCAATTTACAAGCCAACTAGGTACTGTAAGGTAGCTATGTATTAATTAATTAATTAATTAATTAATTAATTAATTAATTAATTAGTTTAAGGTGGCTATGATGTATTTACCAGTTTATAAGCTACCTTAGGGTGGCTATGTACTTATTAATTAATCAGTTAACTTAAGGTGACAGTATGTGCTCTTACTAGTTTATCATCTAACTTAAGGTGGCTAAGTACTTATCAGTTCTTAAGCCGAAATTAGATGCCCATGTACTTATCAGCTTGTAGCTAATTTAAGGTGGCTATGTATCTATTAATTCATCAACTAACTTAAAGGTGCTCTACAGTCCGATCTGCGCATGTGCACAAAGGAGCCCACTTTTTATGATACAAACAGTTTAACTATGTTTTGGGTTCTTGCAAAGCCTGATTGTTGTTTCTTGATCATTTATTATACTCTAGAAACTTGAAAATATAAATAGTTGTCGAATAAAGCTCAATATTTTGGACACAAAAATGTTATGTAAACAAAGGCTTTGTTTACATACGGACTGTAGGGCACCTTTAAGCACAGGAAAATACTAAAAATACTATTAATGGTAAAAAATTAAACATCATGCTTCTACCAATTTACTATTTGGAAAACGTATATATGACAAGCTATAATGGTAAGAGTTAAGTTTTTCCATGCTTTCTGCAAGGAAGAATGGAAGATCCATATTCTTTCCCTGGGTCAGTGACTATGGTGCACTTACTAGTTTCTCCTTCACATAATTTACCAGGTTCATCTGGCATCCCTAGGAATACTAAAACAATAAAGGGAAAATACTTAGCATGCTAGCAGACATAAATGTATGTTACATAAATACTGTACAGATAGCAGTTTGTATTTGTTCACAAAAGAGCTTACCATGAAGAATTAACTGTGCTTCTTTATTCACATCAAATAATCTTATTGCTTCATTCAACTCTTCCTGAGATGAAATACTGCATGGATCACCTGAAATTTTAGTGGATCTATTCTTGTCACTTATTCACAGTATAGATAAGATGGATCCAGGCTTATCTTAAACAATGTATGGACTTCATGACATAGATTCTCACTTGGATTTCAAACCCTAACATTCTAATATTAATTCCACCAAGTGAAGTGCAAGAATGTAAGTCATGAAGTCCACCTTATCACAACCCGCATACCCGATTACCTATATATACATGAACTTACAGTTACAGCTTAACAGCTGGCCTCTGTAGCTCAGTTGGTTAGTGCACTGCACCGGAATCACAGGGCCGTAGGTTCAATTCCTACAAGAGGACCTTGTGCTGCATTTTTCGCAGTCGTTCCTGGTTAGGTCTTAAAATGTATATATTCTCACTTTGATTCCAAACCCTAACATTCTAATATTAAACAATGTATGCAGATTTTCATTGTGGCTTTAATGGTCAACAAGAAACTTGAGTAGAAACTTGAGTGATAAATAACATTGTCTGTTGTTACATTATTTGTCATAAGTAAAAGAACACTGTAGGGCTTGTACATTGGGATGGATTGTGGCCTTCATTGATTAGCCCCCATTTCAGTGATTGAGATATATTTAGAACCCTTTGTCTTGTTATGGGTGACATAATTAGGCTATATATTTGATATGTATATATCTTGCTTAATATGCCTATTAATTAATTGGGTGGGGCCTCAAACGTGTATAAAAATAATGTCAAATGTGTATGTTTGAAATGGAAACAAAGCGGCATGCAGTTGACGGCTGCATAACTTACAATCAAATGGTAGTAATCACAGAAAGACTGCTAACTACTTTGCAGAAACCCGAGGGTACATGTGTACCGTTATAAAACATTGATTATACATTACGTAGTCACATATCCCTCATTCACCCAGTAATGTATCTTCATGTTCCTATCTTACCCTCATCATCAAGCCATTTCAAAGTCAAATCCTGTGTTGCTGTTGGTATGGACCTAAACAATTCTTTCACATATTTTGATAATTCATCCACGCTCATTCCACGATCCATGTTAACACATATCATATCCCTAGAAATCAAGTTTACAAAAATACATCTACCTTAAAAGCAGTTCCAGTTTTGGCCATCTCCTCAACATAGGTCTTATAATATAAAATTTCCATACAACATTTATGGGCATATTCAATTGGTATGAGATTACTCAAAGTCGTTGGTATATTGGCATACAATTACTTTACAATCTTTAAGACCCCATTTACATGGTAGCATGGTATCTTTTTCGCCTGTTTACATGCACATTCGTCCTATTAGGGGGTCTCAAATTTGTACGGTTCTGCAAAAAGGGACAAATTTCAGCCTGGTTCCAAATTTCGTCCGATACTGTGCAAATGGGGTCTTAAAAGCACACAGCATTGCCTACTATATTTTGACATGGGGTTTTAGTCCCCAAAGTAAATTATTTTAAATATTACCATGATCAAGGGCAAATGTTGGCAATCTCCGGCATATAGCTTACATGAAACGCACCCTGGTGCATCACATATTATCTATATATTTACTATTAAATTTCTGAAAAATTGAGTGTGCAATTTTGCCACATTCCAGTCAGGTATCAAGAAAAGCAAGCATCCAAGACCAGACTGCTTTTATGTTGATCACAAAACATTTCCTTTCTTCACTTTAAATGTTTTTAATCATAGTTTAACTCAAATGAGTCTCACTTGGGCAGTTTATATATTAACGCATTCCTTCGCTACAGTCTGGAAAGTTATTAAATTAACCTCTACATATTTAAATATTTCTGTATACTTTTATATATATACACTAAGTTTATTGTACTAAATGTTTTGCTATATAAATTTTTAAAATAGAATTATTTCACTATATAATCCTGATAATCCTAAGGTACCAAACAAAACATCTTTAAAGGGACAAAAAATAAAAGCTTAGGACTTTAATAACGAGGGTCTTAATAATATATCATTAAATACTTTTGTGGTAACCTAACCCAAGCTCCAAACTTCAAGTCAAAAATTTTCAAACTTTTTAATATACAAAAAAGCTTACCGGTCATAAAATGCTTTAACAGGTATAGTATTTAGATCATCCATAGTTGCGAGAACCATTGAAACCAATTAATGAGTTTAAATCTCTTTTCAAAACTATTTATTTTGATTCCTGATCAATTTCTACCTCATTTTGAACTTCAGACAATCGGAATATGTCGGAAATGCTCGCATTCCGGAACTCAGCCTGAGGGGTGGGGTTTTCGCTGCGTCACAGAAAAGGGTCATTCATGGGGATCTAAAATAACGTAACAATAGACCCTTCCCGAAAGTACGTGATTGAGAGTTGAGACGCTTGCTCAAACACACGAAAACGAGGCTCTATAGCCAAAATGGCGTACTTTCCAGAAGGGTGTATCACGTTAGAGGTTCACTATATATTATAAACTGTACAGTTCACCTGCTCGCAGGCTACGCTGACTCAGAATAATGGTGCTGGTTCAACGAAACAGGACCACTAGGGCCACATAAAAAAAATAATAGTTGGTTAGCGTCCTTAGCTTTTGCCAAATAGTGGGCGGGCGGACGCTTTTTTTAAAATTTTTACTAATTTTTAACGCCTTGGTTTTAGGTCCGAAACTGGATTTTCTTGCGCAGTGCATATATTTTTTTACATATTTCAAAATATGATTCATACCGTCATTTTCGCACGCAATTTTGCAATTTATTAACACAATTGACTACAGTCAACAGAAATACTACATATATCAGAGCCCGTTGATCAATAAAAGTTGGGTTTTTTGAAAATTAAAAATAAAAAAAAAATCCTCAGCGGGGCCTTTTTTGTGGGCGGGCGAGGACACTAACCAACTATTTTTTTTTTATGTGGCCTAATCCAGGGTACGTAACAATTGAGGAAGAGATTATTTCGCTGTCCTCAGAGTGACAAAACGTAAAGAAAAGCAACGGTTTTACTAACACTAACTCTACTCCAAACACCAACTCTAACCTTAACCCTAATCCTAACCTAACCCTACTCCAAATTTGTTTCTAAACCAATCTTGAAGAAAAACGTTTTTACGAAATGTCATTCTGAGGTCAGCGAAATAGTTGATGCCAATAACTGAAGTTGAACCCAAATCCAGCGCAAGCGCCTTTCACCGATAGGATCGTGGATCATAAACATTTAACAAAATTTTTAAATTTCTCCGGCCAAACCATTATGTATGTCACCCTTTTTCCAAGAACCTGTAATGGGTAACTCTATAGCAATGCCACTTATTACAATACTATGAGGGCCGCGGAAGGGGGCAATGTGGGCATGTGCCCCCCCCCCCCGCTTGTTTTGAAAGTGAAAAAAGTGCCCTTTTTCTGGACTGAAGTGCCCCCATTTAAAGAACGAAAAAAGTATTTCTAATTCTTGAATGAACGCCCTCTTTTGCTAGAAAGAAAGTGCCCTTTTTGCAGTAGTAAAGACTCTGTAAAGACCATTTCCGACGTCATAAAGACTCCATATTTTCAAAAATTTTCGTTCGGATCGTGAACGACAATTACGACATAAAATCGTTTGATTCTGGTCATATACAAAAGTGCTCCTTTTGGCCAATACCCCTCCACTTTCGAAATGCTTCCGCGGCCTCTGAATACTATATTCCAACAAACCGATCATTGACTCCAAAGAGAGTACATGTCTCCAAAGAAAGTACATGTCATGATGTGCAGACAACATGAAACTTCAGACTGCAGAAAATTACACAAGCAGTTATCAAACTTATGTCACAGAAGTGGTAACAGGCTCACAGCAGTGGTCACAGAACTAGAAGTGGTGAATATTAAAAGTCTTAAAAGGGTGACAGTCTGTGACAACTGAATGGTATCCTTTTGGAAAGTGTTTGGTCTATAGATATCTCAATATCTACGGTTTGGCCAGATGTGGGCATTTATTTTTCATTTGATATTTGAGGTTGAGGTTGTTTATATCCATTTGTCGTATTAAAGTTTTTAAAATAAATTTTAAATAATTTTTAACCCTTTGACTGCGAATGTAATTTGGCGGAAAATCTTCGCGTCACGATAACGAAATATTTTTCTGGAATTATTTTGTCGTCCATGTTGGAAATTTTGTGTCAGGCGGAAGGGAGTTGACTTGTTATCATTTTATATTTTGCTTTAAACTTCGCTAAGAAAAAAACCCACAAAATGGTAAGATGTTAATGTATAGAGCACTAATTCACTTAGAAAGTGAGTGTAGTTTGCATGTCTATAATTATCGTATGTTGAAGATCTGATGTTTTTTATGACGACACTTCCCCAGTTGGCATTTTATTAATTACATTATTTTTGTATATATTTACTTCTATAATAGCCAATATATGTATTAATTGTGCCAATACAAACGATTTATTTTAGCCTGTATAAGTTATAGTTCTTTTATATGCTTTTATGGATTTGTAAAACTTAAGACAAACTTGTCTAATTACATAAAATTCAAGTGCAAATGTACTAACTTAAATTCTGACACTGATCATACAAAACTTTTACTGAAGCGAATGCGGTGTCAGATTTCTAATCCCTAAAAGAGCAGAGTTCTATTACTTCAATTTTGTGGAAATATAATGATATTAGAGTTATATACAGAATTTTACCTGCTGTTGTTTTCATTAGATTTTTAATTGATATTTTATTTGCTGTATAAATAGACTACATGCACTTATCCCTCAGTGTGATGTCAAGTTCCAAGTTAAAAATATATGCCTTACAGCTTTACTTATACCTCCTGTTTGTGTTCTAGACGGAACGGCAACTCGACTATGCATTGGATTTAATGCGACGACTTCCACCTCAACAAATTGAAAAGAATCTTAGTGACTTGATTGATTTAGTAAGATTCTATTGGAAATTGTACTATACACATTTAAAAGAAAAGTTTGTATTTGAGCAAGAAAATTAAACTACATCTCTTCAATTACGGGTTGATTGCATGTTACAATCTTGCAGCTAAAGACAGGAACCCAGTCCCGACCTGCGAACAGGTGTTCTTTGTAGACCTTACTCTAAACATAACCCTAACCCTACCCTGACCCTAACCCAGTTAAAACCAGAAAGAAAAAAAATCTCAAAAAGTAAAAGTACTTCAACAGGATTTGAACCCACATTACATATCACAGCCGCATGCTGTATCCACTGAGCTACTGGGTGCCTGAATTATGGTACTTGTGTTTCTAGGTGCCTGAATTATGCGAGGATCTTCTATCGTCTGTTGATCAGCCTTTGAAGGTTGCTCGAGACAAAACGACTGGGAAAGATTACCTTTTGTGTGATTATAATAGAGACGGCGATTCTTACAGGTATATAATATATAACAGAGTTATTAACCCATTAAGCGCCAGCGCTCTCCCCTTGACGAGTAAAATCGTCTGGCGTTAGACAGAGTAAAATACTCTGGCGTTAGACAGAGTAAAATACTAAAGTAGGGTGCATCAGGGTGCAATACAACTCAATGGGTTAACACACAGAATATCAGATATCTGTATTGACTGATATCAGTGATTGTAATTTTGCATATGAATGTATCAATAGTATGTTCATTATTTGCAGGTCACCATGGAGCAATACATATGATCCCCCATTGGAAGATGGTGCTGTTCCTTCAGAAAAACTTCGCAAATTAGAACAAGATGCCAATGTCGCATTTGATCAGTACAGAGAAATGTAAGCCCAGGGCAAACTAGGAAACATTGTTGCAGAAACATTGTTTCCTGCCAGTGTTTCGCCATGTTTCCCAGAGTGGGCAAACACTAGGAAACATTAGTGAGAAACATAGGAAAACATCAAATGTTTCTGAATTTGCTAGGAAACATTTTTGCTTCTCGGGAAGCAAATTTTGTTTCCGCAACAATGTTTCCACGGGTAGGCAAACAGGGAAACATTTGAGGAAACATCGAGAATCACAAATGTTTCCACAACAATGTTTCCTAGTTTGCCCAGGGCTTTAGTACACTTACTCATGACCATATGATTTATTATGGTCTAACGATCTGGTCTTCTGTGCACTGCATCCATATCTCTGATTACTGATTGCCCAATGAAGGGCCTTCTCTCGAAATGCCGAAGTTTACTTGTATTTGAATCCCTCTAAATCCACAGCTTTCTTGTGTTAAATTAGGGAGTTTAAGCTTCATGTTTCCGGGAATGGCAAACAGCAGTTTCGAATTTCCTTGGCAAAATTTTTGTTGAACATTTTCGTTTCATATTTTCTTGTGTCAAAAGAATAATTATGTATTTCAGTTTTAAAGCAGCAAGTTAATTTTCTCTTTATTGCCTGATGCCGTAAAATTTTCTTTGCCTGCCGTTTGATGTATAACGCAAAGCTTAAACTCTCTATTATCACTACCTAATACCTACCCTGGCACAGACTGTTCGTTCGAGTTTATAGGAACACTCTGTTACATTGGCAACCTTAATGACATTGTGGCAATTGGACATGGACACCTTGCTGTTTATGCTCACAATTACCATTTGCACATTCCGATGTTGGTACATTTTAATGTTGAAAGATTGTGCACACACCTTGGTTTTGTTAATTGAGCGTTCCATTTCAAACCATCTCTTTAAATTAGTCATCACTACCTGAAAGAGATAAACAAAGCTTTGATGTTCGACGGCAAATGCCGCCAAGCCCTTAATTACAATCAAAACCAAGACAGTTCACTTTGTGCACTTGATTTGTACATTTCTAACTTACAATACTGCTTGCTTTAATTCCCAGGTATTTTGAAGGTGGAGTCTCATCTGTATATCTTTGGGATTTAGACCATGGGTTTGCAGGTGTAATTTTGATCAAGAAAGGTACATCTCTTTTTACACATGTCAACAGTGTTGTCCATCTTTTTAGTAACAGGCTTGTGTCATAATTTGAAATTATTATTTCTTTATAGCTGGTGATGGTTCAAAGAAAATTAAAGGGTGCTGGGATTCTATTCATGTCATTGAAGTTCAGGTATGGGTCTAGATTGAAGTCGCATTTTTCTATAACACGTCTTAGGTTTCAATAAATTAAGCACTGTTTTGCAACAGATGGTGGTCAATTGCCTGTTATTATTATAGTGATATCGTTGTTTGGAGTAGTCCAGCATTTGGATGCAAATAAATACGAAAGAGAATTAGTTTCAGTTTGGTTGTTCCTGTAAATGTCTACACCTCTAAACCACCCACCACTGCCCTGTAATGAAACATGTCAATTGAAATGATATAACTCGTGTATGTCATGATTTTCCTCTTAGGAGAAATCGGGTGGTCGTAATGCTCATTATAAACTTACATCAACTGTCATGCTGTGGCTACAAGTATGTTTAACCAATTCTTTCCAAGTTTTTTTTGTTCCAACTGGTATATCATGTTGAAATCTTGCACTGCAACCTGCATATTTTCATTTAGACCCACAAACAAGGTTCTGGAATTATGAATCTTGGTGGAAGTTTAACACGTCAGGTATGCATACACTATCAGGTCACAAAAATTGACATCCCTTATCAAAAGTTGAACTAAAATTATTTGATATGTTTTGTACCAAGGTGGAGACAGACAGTCCCATGTCTGAAGCTGGATCTCATATTGTCAACATGGGAAAATTGATCGAAGTAAGAAAGAACAGATTGATATCATAGTCTAAATTTAATTGAGTTAGTTCATTGGTGTTTATTGGTTAAGGAATACAGATCTTTGTGGGTACTTTATTGATCCTATCTTTCTCACTTAGGATATGGAGAATAAAATGCGGAACACGTTAAACGAAATCTACTTTGGCAAAACGAGAGATATTGTCAATGCTCTCAGGTAATTCTATTCATATTTTGATCAGTTGGATATTTTATTTATAAAAATAGATGCAGTGCCAGTCTACTCTATACATATATATTTCAAAAAACTTGATCCTCTTACGAACCAATTTTCAAGATTGATGAACAATTACCTTGGTTTTCAGAAACGTTGTTTATAGCAATGTTTCTTCAAAAAGACTACACGTCTCAAATAAACATCACACTTAACATATTCTCATTATTATCCTCTTAATATAGGAGTGTTCAAAGTCTGGAGGACGCTGGAAAAATGAAGAATATGCAAGCTGAATTGTTCCAACATCTGAAGAACAGACAAAAATAGTTTTCTACTTCGCCATTTCCTACAAACTATTTGTATATGATTACTCTGTAAAATTCTTTCTAAATTGCAAATGCAATGTATTTTGTTTTTGGTTTACAAATGCATAATCGTAAAATTCCCATCATCAAATTCAGTTCAAGAGCAACAGCAAACATAACTTTATTGGAATTCAGGTCATCTTGCTGAGAAAGGGCTCGTAAAACGTTTTACAGCTTTTAGTTTGTCCGCGTATTATATGATTGTGTACGAATCAGTACTTAGGTATAATCCCATCTTATATAATCTCAATTATGAAGATACTTCTGGATTCTTTTATTTGCTATTATAGACGTGGAAAATAGGAATGTACCAATAAATCAAGTAACTTCAGTTTTTACGAGTTCTTTCTCAAAAGACAAGATTATTGTTCATGTTGTTAAATGATGGTGTCACTTCTCAACGCTTCTTTGAGTTTTAGAAATTTCAGTCTTAATTCTGATAATTCATTAATGGTAAATGTAGAGAAGAGATTTTGTAATATTTTCAAACCTTTGTACTGTATACTGTCATATGTAATTACTAGTTATTGAAAAACCTGACATACTAAACACGTGTCGACTATTGTGGTAATAAATCACCTTGATTAAACTTTCTCTATGCTGTGTTCTTTAATGAGCGTCAGAATGGGGTTAACATTTGAATGTTGGGTGCCTGAATACGACTGTGTACGGGATTCAACACAAACTGTGAGGCTTAGCTCCTCTGGGTTGTGATATAGAACAAATTGTGAGGCTTCAGTACTCTGTGAGGCTTAGCTACTCTAGAGGCTTGAGGCTTCAGAGTGTTTCCAAGCTAGGGTTCTGTGCACAGTGTGTAGTCGTTTGAAACGAAAGTCTCTGACACCCAAGGACAATGTAGGCCTGAAATTTGTTCTATTTTAATGTTCAGGTATAATTGTATCATATACAGAAGCCTACAGTTTACAACATAATGGGTGTTGGTTAGCTCATTAATTAAAATAGAAAATAACTAATTTAAATAATGATTTTATAGTCAGCAATACTGTATTTTCCATCCAGTGAACCGCCCTATCGATTTTCGAAAATGGTTTCTTTTTGGATTTTATTAATTTGGTTAGGGTTAGGGTTTTGTTACATAGCCATTTAGGCGATTTAGGGTAGTCAATACCATAGAAACATTACCAGAGCCTACAATCAAATGGACAGCGGACATCTTTTGAACACAAAACGTCACACTCTAGCGCTACCAAGCCATGCTTTTTGGCATTTTGCTTTGTTTTGTCGACTGGAAATAATTATAATTTTTTGAAAAATGGCAGAACATTCTCCCTCCCCAACTCCTGAGAGAGCGATCTATGGATTTGTTCTTTATGTGGCAACTTATTTGCTGTTTGGTGAATAACACTTTTACGTATTCTGATATTCTATGTATTTATATTTTAATTTAGTTGCTAGTACTGTAGTGTTTACTATTTATTGAATATTCGTACTTTATTAGGTTTATATATTTTATGGGCATATTTACCCGAGTCTTGGTTGACTAAACTTGGTATAACCTATCTCCCCCAACGGTTAGTATAGCCCTAGTTCTTTATACTATACTCTCATGAGAATATTGTGATAATTTGCAACATTTGACAAATTTTAGACATCTCACACAATAGAACTAAATATTGGTTTTTGACAGTGGAAATATTGATTGTGTCAATTTTATACAAGCTTAGACAACTAGGAGCAGATGCGATAAATGCAACTATAGGCGGGCCCCAGACTGCATTGTTTGCAAAACACGCGCGGGATTTTTGAAACTGACAATTATAATGCGCACTTGCAGTGAAATATGAGCGCCGAATTGCGCACACTGATTGTAAGTCGTGCAGTGTTTCCACAATACACCATTCAAGTTTATTTGATTTGGCCTTAAAATTTCCTTGAATTTCTTTTTTAGGGTCAAAATTTTCTTGATTTTGAAAAAGGAAATTTCTTTGAAAGTGGAAACGCTATTCAGCTTCTGGAAGTTGCGCGAATGCACACGCACGTTCTGTGAAAGAAATGTGCTCGGTTTTTCCTATATTTTGGTTGAAAAGCGCGACATGTGTAAAAAATGCGCGCGGAATATGTTCCGCGCACACAACAAACAATACAGTCTGGGGCGGAGCCCTCTGGCAGGAATCGAACCGGCGGCCCTGTGCAGAGGGCCTATCTATAGTTGCATCCAGTTAGGTCCAATAATGTGTAAAATGTACACAATCAAGATTTCCATCTACAAAAATCCTGCAACATTTCATAACATTTATTAATTCCACAACACTTCATTTTTGGTACAATTACTCAATCCAGTAATTTTAAGAGATCAGTTGATTACTTTGATTTTAATTTGATGTAAAATCTCTTCTCTTAGATTTTGGGTGTTTGCTGGCCCAATGTATTTCTGTGTCACATTCCTGTTCGTTCTGTTCTGCTATGTTTCCTGGAACTTACTGAAAACGCCCCCCTTGAATTCAATGTCCACCCTGACAGGTAGGGTGTCCTCACATATTGCAATTTATGTTGATTTTAGGCTTAACCAAATTCTAATGTCAGTGAATTATCAGTTCAGGCGGTTGTCACACCTTTAGTTCATATTGGATCATTCCAGAAAAGATCCATACTCCCCCCAGAGAGGAACTTTCTGCCGTCCGGAGGGGGAGGGGAGAAAAAATTGTTTCTGATAATAGTAAATGTATTAGGACATCCGAAGAAGGTAGGGGGGTTAACTTTCTATTTCCTCTGTGGGGATAGTATGGATGTTTTCTGGAATGACCCATTTTCAAATATCACAGATTTTAAATAATGTTTTAATACCAGATCAGTTTGCTCGAAAAGCACCTGAAGAATTACAAGACAGAACCTCTGGTGGTTGTGTTCCACCACTTGGAGACATTGATATTACAACAGTAAATAGATGTTTATATTTAAGACATACAAATGTAGAACAATTGCCAGTAAATAAATAATATTTCATATGGTATCTATAGACTGTTTCATTAATCGCTATCAACAGCAGAAGCTACATTAGATGTAGTACCAGTAAATAGCAACACATCAAGACTCTAATATAACATGTATATTATCTGATTTTCTTTTAATTTAACTGCATACTTTAATTTAGTAGCCAACCACTTGCAATATGCAGACTGAAACCTAACCTTAATCATGGAACTAAAGCTTCTAGAGAACTAACAATAATTAACCATAATATGACCTTATATAGTAATTCTCATATTTCTTCACTTGTATATATTTTATACCTATGGTATGTAATAATTTCATCATTCCTGATGACTACAATCTATCTAGTCACAATGTTGAATAAACATGGTATGGTATTGTACTATAATTAAAATACTCAGTACAGTAGTTGCCACAATTACCAGTAGTATTTTAGAAGTCTTGTATTTGGAGGTATAAATAAATATAATTTGTTTTATATTTGGCTTGCTCATGTCTAATTGGAGAAATATGTTTCCTTTTCACATGAAAAGATTAGACTTTCACTTTTCAAGTTTTGGTAAATCTTATTGGAAAAATATATACAGTCAAACTATTGTATACTATAGTTCTTATTTATGAAGCTACATATTATTTTACAAAGCTACACAAAAGTTACCCAGTCAAAGTTGCATCAATCTGTTTAACAAATGGTAGTGTTAGTTTCACTTTTCGTCTGTAATTGACATCTTTTGCTAGAGGGTTGCCTTCCAGGTAGATTGTGTTCAAAGTCTCTATTTTCTTCAATTGATCGAGATCATTCCATGATTCCAGCAGATTGTTGTTGAACTGAAACAAGAGTATTATTTATTCGTCATCTGTGGATAAACAATTACAGCTCAATGCATTGCCTATTCTCAATCTTGATGCAGTACATACCCAAAAATCTTCAAGTTTGCTCAGATGGCTAATATTTTGTATCCTACTGATTTGATTTGAAGCCAAATCCAGAGTGTTGAGATTGACCTTGGGCACACAAGTAAATATTATGAAACCACAATGGTTAAACGGAGGTTAAAATTAATACTAAACAAAGATGGATCAAGTCAACCCTACCAATTTCTCAAGGCCTTCGATGGCAGTAATTCCATTATGGCTGATATATAATTCCTCTAAACTTTCCAGTTGATCAAGCCCTTCAAGTTTCGTAATGCGATTACTCTGAATGCTGAGAAGTTTTAACTTTTTTAGGCCATCAAGATTCTAAACAATTAATTATATAGTCCTTTCATATAAACTTAATTTGCTAATTAAAATCAGAATGAATGACAACTCAGAGAAACATACAAACCTCAAGTTTGCTTATCTTGTTTTTACCCAGAAACAGACTTTCTAAATTTACTAACGAACTCAAACCATCAATGACCTAGATAAAAAAATAATTGGTATACACATGTTCTATTTACACTAAATCTAGAAAAATATTTTTATCATATTTTTCTTGAATCATACATGACTAACTTGGCACTAACATGTATGCGAGCGCTGTAGAAGATTCAACTATACTAGAACTGCCAACAAGATGGAACCAAGGCCTAAAAAAAACCTTTGGTTCTGGTTCCCGACCAACCATATTTTTTTCTGCCGACCCTATTACTTTTTCAACATGATTGACTGTGTGACCCTATTTTCTCCAGGTGGTTGCGGGCTGCTGCCAAAATGGCGTCTGTTGTCACACTAATTATTGAAAAAACAATGAAAAAATATTAAAAAAAAAAATTTCCGATCTACCGACCCTAATTTTTTCGCGATATGAAACCGGAACCACAGGTACTTCTTTAGGCCCAATCAGCATTGATTTATCTTATATTACCAAAATGGTACCATTGAGATGGTACTAGTCAGATCACTTGACCAAGGAGTAACTTTGTAGCAGACATATAGTACAAGTCAGATATGGTACAAGTCAGATATGGTGCCAGCAATATCTGTCAGCTGGCGAAACTTACCCTTATCTTATTTGCTCCCAGTTCGAGCATGGTTAATGATGACAATGTGGTCAAATTGTTGATTTTAGAAATGCTATTTTGAACCAAAAATAATTTCTGTAACTTAACCAAAGCCGTAAGATTTTCAAGCACCTTGATGGTATTGAAGGAAAGATCCAAAATCCTGTAAAATAATGAAATGAAATTGGAAAGGATTTAAATAGAAATGAGTGCATGATAAATACAAAATAATTTATTTTCATACTTGAGATTGACAAGTAGTTCCAGATTTTCAATTTTCTCAAGTTGGTTGTCATAAAGGTCCAATTCTTCCAAAGTTATCAGCGCATCTAAACCTTCAATCTTTTTTATCATGTTTCTTCGAAAACAAAGTGTCTGTTGGAATAAAAAAATTTTTGCAAATGAAACAGTAAATTTATGGGTTACAGTATACTATAAACTATGTATTTCAGTAATTTTAATACCTCTATCTTTTCTAAATGCTCTAAGTTTTCAATCTTCTCAATTTTTCTGTGTGTAAGGTCGACATCCTAGCGTATAAAGCATAAAGAAATTTAATCAAATTTTTGTCAAATTCTGTCACTCCTTGTTTGCAAAACACACAGCTTACCAACGTATCTTTAGCCAGTTCGGGAATACCTGTCTCTTCATCCTCGCCTGTGCAATAAATTACATAAAAACATTATCTTAAAAGTTATAAAAAGCATTTATTTGTACCAAAAAATGGTCATTTTGTACAGTACCTTCTCTGGTATTGTCCGCCATTTTGTTTCTATAGCCGTTTCTCGTACACGGGGTTTTAATCCCGAACATTGTACCCTGGTACAAAGTTCCTCCATAGAAATCTGTTTGTCTGTTTGTTCTTCATCTCTCTGTTGCGCGTTTTCTGTAATTTGTACTTTTTTGCCATTACCCCCAAACAGGTCCCACTGACTTCAGTGGTCGGGCCACTGGGTGTCTTGGGTTGGGCCACTGACTGGCCATTTCAACGAAGTCGCGCAAAAGTTGGCCTGGAAACGGGAATGAGCAAATGCGGTCTGCCCAGCGCTATCTCATGCCAGAAGATTTCTTCCAAAACAAAATCAAATCGTTTTAAATTAATAAATTATTTCAAAACCTTTATTTTTATCAACAAAGACACCTTACGTATAGTTATGACACAAATGTATGTATGAACAAATATATAGGACTGCGTTCTTTAATTTACTATTCATTAAATAAACGCCGGCTTATTTCCTGTTCCAAAGTTTCCCCGCTGAATACGCGTGCCTGGTTTACGTTTAATTTTCATCTAGTGTTTTTCAGTACGTAGAAATAAAAACAATAGCTAGGGTTAATGCTTCGTTCACAGCGTGTAAATGTGTGTTATGAGGCTATATTCACTCATATAATCAATTACCCTTTGGCTAGGCTTTGTCTCAGGTCTCCTGGTTTTGACTAGCCAGAAATGAAACTTTCAAGCAACTAAAAGCAATTTAAACATGGTTCAAAAGCGTACAGTATGCGCGTAACGCATGGACACGCTTGTCGGAACGAGGTAAAACTGAATAAGACTGGCAGTGATATCCATTCACTCCGAGCTCGACGTCCTAAACAGGTGACACAGGGGACTGGACATCAGCCTCATTTGCTTCGATAATTTTCCATTCCTCGTTCAGATTTTTCCAATTTCCCCAGAAAGAACTTCTATGTACGAACCATGTCCAGAAGTAGCGCGCTTTCATCATGATGATCATGCCACAGAGAACGTAGATTGAAGCGAAGATTACTGTCGTTTCTACCTGGTCAGTAACATCGTAATGACTCTGTAGCACCACGAAACCAACGATAATTAGCACACATAAAGCCAGAACGAAACAGTACCAAATATCAAGTTTGTTGCATGGTCCACATGAAGCTGATGGGCGGGTCCACTAGAAAATTGAAGAAAAATATTAAGGCGTTGTTACACTATGTAACTTGTTTCGAAACTTGTCTTGTAGTGTTAAGCCGGGAAATCGTTTCGTTGAATATTTTAAAATTAGGTTTTACTTTGCGCAAGAATTACTGCAACATTACAACTATATATGGGGTAAAAAGTTCTCTATTTCCAAAACAATTGTTTTTCGTGCATTCGCGTATATGTCATTAATAACCATGACCTGTCTTTTCTATACAAGTTAAAAATAGTTATGACAAATGTTAATTTTCTTAACTTAACCACATATAAACTGATCTTCATATCTATTTTTATCAATGACACTCACAATATTACCACACAATTATATGTATCTGGTATAACCGTTACTTTGAACGGCTATTTGTGTCTCAACAACTAATTTCCACTGACGATCGAAAAACCTCCAATTTCGTGTGGTTACGATCAAAACGAAGAGTAATCAGTTGGTAACGGGAAATGGATGGAAAATGCGTGGTGTAACATCCCTCTTGCAACTTGTCTGGCTTCCTATTGGTTCTTACAGTAATGGCTGACAATTTGGCCGCAAACGTTAACACTCGCGGTTTTTATGCTATTTTTAACCATGCATGATCAATACAAGTTGCGCATGAAAAATATTGCTTGATGTAACATCGCTTGCAATGCAAATGCAATATTGAAATCGTTGTTCTTAACATTGCGAGACAAGTTGCACAAGTGTAACAACGCTTTAATCTACGAAAGTGTGCGCAAAATATTGCAATGGCTATTTTTATCGATGAAATCACAAGATTACCATGCAATGATATCTGGAATAACCGAGAAAATATTACATATGTGGTGTTTCAAATACTTAGCGCCTTCAGAAACGGCGAAGTTTTCTTTAATATCTCTTACATGCAAGTAGTATCGACGAAAACTAAGACAGTTCTCAGAACTCGTTGGTAACGGAAAATAGATGACAGAGAAATGGTGGAATGAGACTAAAAATCTAAGAGAAACATGCCAATGAGAGTAAGAAAATTTGAGCAAAAGATTCGGTATTGAAGAACCTGTTGACTCGCGTGATTCACAGATCACAAAGCTGCACTAGATACTAAATAGTCTAAATAAGATGGAGAGTCAAGACGACAGCTAATATAAGCAGGAACGGGTACCAGCATAGTTCTTAACCGCACAAACAATGTCAGTGGAAATCAGCATACTTAATTCACGATCGCCCACATAATTTACGTGCACAAACATGAAGAATACATATACTAAATACTTGTGCCCACCAATAATTAACAAATGTGGTTAAAAATAACTTTTGGGTTTAGTTTTTGGTTTTGAAAGTTGGCATGGTAAGAATTCTAGCAATATAGGAGGATATTATCGAACCCGGACTATATGTTCCATGTGCGTGATTAATACAAGAGCTAGAAAATCCTATCGAATCTTTATATCGTATCTCAGTGGCTGTCCCGTCTAAGCACGAATCTTTAAATCGATCAATGTCTTCAAAGCAAACTAATGCATCGCCCTCTATATCCAAAATCACTTTCTCTCAGTCGTATCAGTAATACATTCATCACCTTCGCCCTGAAAAACGTCCTTTCGAAGAAAACGTCGACGATCAAGCTATATAATCACGCCCAAACTTATACGATACTACCTACACTAGACAACACGTTTGAAAATATTTTCCCCTACCTGGTCAATTGGTTTTTTCTTACGTTTCACAGTGATGGGACATGTACATATCTCGCATTGCTTCGTTTTCGTATGACGTATCCACTTGATAATACACGATTCATGCACCCATTTCGAGGTGCCCGCACAATGACACGGACTGATAAGATCCTGGCCTTCGGCATCGTGACAAATTCGACACTCGAGATCTAGATAGAGATCTCTCTTGCTTGGACACCCTCTGGAGGATGGTAATGATTCCTGACAGGTTGAAAGGCTGTGGATACTTGCACGGAATGAGCCGCTGGAATCCAAGTCAACATTATGCGGGAATTTACAAGATTTCTCCTTTAGTGCTGCTGTTTCGTCAAACGTATCCGTTTCTTTCAAAGAAGGATCCTCCAAAGTGTACATCTTCTCAGAACAGTTTAGCTTTGTCAACTGTTCCGCGTTTTCCTCCAGAACTTTGAAGCAGTTTTCACAAGCTTCGTTCTCAAAGTTCTCATAAAGAAGAAGTCCTTCTTGCTGTTTTTTGTTGAGGTGAAGCTCATCTTCGTTTTCGCTTTCTTCTGGTTCAGCCAGGGTTGCGAATCTTTCAAATGTAGCCCCATCCTCCACCTTGCTTTCTTCTCTGAAGGACCCTGAAACTTCGCGTTGTTTTTTGGAGGACTCGTGTGTTTCTGTGGCTTTGTATCTTTCAGTAGCTTCTACAGTTTCGTTTCTGTGAACTATTTCGTCCACTAAAATTACAACATCTTCTGGACCTCCTGCAGAGTGTTCTATTTGGAACTAAAAATTATGAATACTAAATTTAGTACTGTTGGGTTACATAAAGAAAGCGAGTAGTTGCGATCGTCAACAAACGTAAGCTATATGAATCGAGAATGAAATATTTTATGTCTTAAGCTTCTCTATATACCGTTTCTTCATTCTGTCGTCCTTGTTTCCCTAATTTCTCTTCGTCTTTGCGACAATTCTTCATTTTCTCCAGAGAAACAAATTCTTTCGTGACATCAGCGAATGTGTTAAGCAAACACTCTGTTTCCTCAGTTTGACCCTCAAGAAAACTCTCATTAACGCGTTTTGAACTCATTTCGGTATGCTGAAAACAAACGGCTCAAGTTCTTCTCCTGCAAAACAATTGCCGTCGATTCTGTTTACCTTGTGTCGAAATTAAATCATTTATACAAACGCGTCTGTATATTGCCACGCGAAGTTCAGTCACAACCGCGGCATATAATTAACTGCAGACCGCAATATTAATACAAGCTTATTTTCGCCCAGAACTGGCGGTTTTTTGACCGATTACTCATGCCCCGACTGTGCCAAAACTTCAAAAACGTCTGGTCTGGGCCGTCTGGCACTAAAGAGTAAAGAGTAAAGGAATAGTAGCTTTATTTTACACCACGTTTATACTTTATTTCCGACCGTTAGCACGAATCTTCACCAGTGCAAATAATACTAAAGATAGCAAATAAATAAACATCGACACCGCGGTGTTTGGAGGACGAATAATAAGGCAATTTCGATCGATATAGCTGTTAAATCGAGTATTGAATAGTAGTTAATTACAATATCCAAACAGATCAGAATAATTCAACTGAGAAGGTGCAAAAGTTGGACCAATGAAAATCGCGTATTTTAGCCGTCAACTAGTATTTAGATAAATTTAAGTAGTTATGAGGCAACAGGTGCGTGCAAGCTTTTTTAAAGATATAAAAATTTACAATTCAAAATTCCAAATACAAAATTCTTTAACTGACATAAATCCCACAGTCATACGAAGGGGTAGAATGTCACGTCAGCAGGTGAAGAATGTCATGTCGGCAGGCATAAACAAACAAACAAGAACAATGCATAAAAATATTTTAAAATTTCCTGTCAAATGGCTTATATTGTTATGCAAATTTATTTTGTCTTCCGTTGAACGTGTTTGGGCATGTTCAAGCTTATTTTGCCCCAAAGCCTTCTGGGCAGGTTCGAGTCTTGCCCAAACTTGCCTAAAGTCGCCTTCGAAAACCAAGAAGACAAATTTTTTAATAAAAGGTACGGTTAATTTTACTTTTTATTGATTTAAATATCCACTCAAAGGACTTTTATAACCAAAGGTAAGTATTTTCTGACGTTTTCCGCGATCGATCGCTCGGTTGGATAGTGTTATTTTGAATAATGATTAGGCATCCGTTTCAAACGAGTATGTCTATTGTGTGCTGTCAGGATTGATCAACATATATTGGACAAGCCAAAATAAAAGAAAAGGTATCGACAGTTTCATTTCTCTGCAAAACATCAAAGTTGCTTGAGGGTTAGTCACCGATTAGTGTATACTTTCACAGGAAGTAGAGCGGGCATTAGCTTTCGTCGAAGCTCAAATAGTCAAAGCAAATAGAATATTAGAATTGGACGCTCGCACGTGCGTGTAACACAATCTCTAGTAACTCTGGAATATCCTTTAACGGCATATGATTGGTTTATCTTGAACACGAACGCTTACTATTCCTGCAGTAATTGGCTAACCTTCCGAAAGCTCATATACCGGTATACACTACACAGCATATACATTTAGAAAGGTTGTATTATAGTACTACAGAACAGCATCACTCTCTATCTGTCTTCATTCTATATAAACTTCATCACGTGCCTTCAAGAAATCTTCATGTATTCATAGTAAGTAAACTATAAATGTTCTTTGTCCAGACCTAATTGTGGAAGCGGAATATCCGAATATATTTGGATAATTTGGCGTTGTTTATGTTACTGTGAAATTCTACTGCTTTTCTACTGACCAATTAGAAGGTGCACGGGTAATGGCCTCGCCGTACAAAGCCCAAACAAACAGGACTCCTTTTAGGTTGCGAAAACTAAAGTAGCCTGGAAAGCTTAGTTTTTATCTAAATTACCCTAGATCGTTCTCTTGGTGTCAATATCAAAGTAATCGTGGTTTTATAATTTAGGTAATCCGTATGTGAGAACTAGCTGTGTTTACAATTGCGCGTTTCGCGAAGGAAGCTCATCAGCGGACGCCTTTAGGGTAATCAGTATTTTGCTAAAAGCAAAAAGTTCCATAGCTGTGCGCTTTGTGACCGTGTCCTTAATGAAAGTAAAGCATTTTTGCTTTCGTTTTCCGCGTAAAACGGGATGTCTGACCAGTGCGGTTCATTAATACTGTTGATATTTTATTGAGGAAGAGTATTTATTTATAGTTTAGACAGGAAAATAGCGTATAACGGTATAAAATTTATTGAGCACGTGGGGTGTACAAAAACTGCTCCGGTTTATTGCCTAAACTATGAGCATTGCTAAAACTTGTTCAATCTTGCCCGAAATCCGAGCCGTTTGTTTCCTTGGCGGACAAGTTACTGCATGCCTTTGTAGATAGTCTAACGTAGTTAGCATTTTAAGTGACTTGAGTCCTACTTGACTGTTAATTATGTTAACCTACTAAAGGCTTTGTTATTGGGCTATATCAACGGTATATTGGGGATTTGGTACCCTGAATACAACTCTGTGTTTAAGGTTTGCTTGTGTAAAGGAATTCAAAAGCAAACACATGGAATTTTATAATGAGGGAAACATGGTGAGAATATTAATTGCGGCGATGACTGACATTCAGTCATATGGTATAAGGATCGGGTGTCAGTAGCTAAGAATGCTTCTCAATCAAGCGTAGCATGGTTACAATCCCTGTGATTAAATTCGGTCTATTAACACATTGTTCTAGGCATAAAGTTTGTCTTGGGCTTATTCATATATTTTTATGGATACTTTTGGAATACCTTAGATAATACCATATAAACTGTAAAACCAATTAGAGTAAGAACTATCAAGACTAGTTTTATTATTCATACGCGGTCACAACTTTATATATTGGTCCCTCTCAAAAACAAGACAAGAGGCCCTTTTTAATATACAGCATGTCGTGATAATTTATTCGTTTGTCAAGAGTTTAGTTAATTTATGCATAATTATCTCATAATTACCATTGCCTTGTGTTTGTGTGCAGTGATAAAGTATAATTTATTCATGATGGTTTGCAACAATAGACATTTAAAATTACAATTTAATTATGACTCATTTCAAGATTATTAAATATTTTTGTTCTAACTCTCTTATTAAGTTACAGTGTATTCCATTATGCACTCTATATAATACATAAATGACAGTTCACAGCTTATATCCTAGTGTAATTCTCCTAGTGCAGTGTGGTACTCACTGGTGTGAAGGTTTAAAATTTTAACCTTATTTATCCTTCCCTGTCACCAATGGACCCTTGTTACCACTTTTGAGTAGTCACTTGTCCTAAAAAATAAGAGCTGATTAGAGACTTGAATATTTTATATACCTACTAAGAAATTTAGTGTTTACCCTATGCAACTTATTGTCGATTTCAAGTCACTTTTCAACGTGCGTTTCCCAAGTTTGTTGCGAACTTGCCAATTACATTTCCAAGTTCGGAAATTGGGCACGAACTTCGCAACAAAAGTTTGCAAGTTGTAAACAAATGTTCGTACTCGATAATAATAACCAATTCAATGAAATACAAACCTTCTTGGTAGCTAGCCCACTGGACCAAGAACTTAATTCCATTGAATTGCTAATTTCAACTTGAACGAATTGACCATTTGTTTTACAATAGTTCAAACACTGAAATGTACTTCCGAACTTTGTTGTGAAGTTCACGCCCAATTTTTGAACTTGGAAACGTAATTGGCAAGTTCGCAACAAACTTGGGAGCCGCACGTTGAAATCGACAATAAAAATAACTAGTGGTTTGAGCTCGACAACTGGACTCTGTAGCTCAGTTGGTTATAGAGCTGTACCGGAATCGCAGTGCCGCAGGTCTAATATTGTATATAAAATTTACACTCAGTAATTTCCATCTTCAAAACCCATCAACTATTATTCAGTCCAGTGAGATGCCAACAAAATCTTGATATTTAGCCAACTTAAAAAATAACTGGTTTGTTGAATGTTTGCAGCACCTAGCCAGTTATAAATTGCTTGTAGGTTTTAGGGGGTTTTAACAAACCCCCTTAAACCAGTAAACAATTACTACAACTACAAGATTCCTTACACAGTAACAAGGTTACATTTAACCTATGGAGTGCCAGTGCTCCCTCCCCTTGACAAGTGAATTGTCTGGCATTGGAGACATGCAGATTTTTCTCTGGGAGGGAGCCAGAAATTCTGGAGGAGGTGAGCAAGGGGGTATGTACTGTAGCTCTGCCGAGAAAGCTGCAGCAGGGGTGTGGGAAAACAGTTGCTAGTGGGGATAGGGTTGTGGGTAAGGATGCAAATTAAGCCCTAGGAAATATTTGGTCTAATTTAGTTCAAAAACCTTACTTCAATCATTAACTACTGTTATTTAATCCAACAAGCATATAATTTTTTTTTGGGGGTGTACAAATCTCCCTAGATGGCCTGGTTGGGGCAGAATATTTGTGGTGCACGCCCCTGAAAATACGTCTATGGTTAGGTAGAGTAAAATCACACAGTAGGGTGGATTACTGGCATAATAAACACACTTTGCCAGACATTGAACTGCCTTTGTTTTGTTTTAGATGTCTCAACCATCATCGCAAGATTCGACCGATACTCAGGAGATATATTCCCAAGGTTCATTTGAGGAAATATGGGATTCATTAGGACGGTCATTTTCCAATCCTGAGAAAATGATTCAAGGGTAAATATAAAGATACTGTATGGTTTCTTTAGAATATAGGTTGAATTCAGTTCAATAATTTCTTGCTTACTACTGTATTATAAACAATACACAATACACAATGTTCACTTTTCCCACCGGCATTTGATCGAGTAATTATCTAGCAACTGTATGTCTTACCTCAGCAGTTAATTTTCTTGCATAAAGTCATCCAAGTGTCTCTTCTTGTAGTGTTATGACTGATGTAATACCGTTCACAGTTGAATATAAAGACCAGCTAGATCCAGGTAAGAAACAAGTTAAGTACGATTATCAACATAGATATTATCTGACACTGCTTTCGATATAATTACTCATGCTTTATTCCTTAGTTGTTCAAAAAAATCATACTTCTTAAAGCTCACAGTACAAAACAAGTTTGAACAGAACTTCAACCTAATTCCAGTTCCGTTGACGTCTTTCCGTTGACGTCCACACTTTCTTTGTCCAATGGTAACGTTAGGTGGCCACGATTCGTAACGTGATTGGTATTTATCGTTGGTGAACGCCTTCTGGTTAGTTTATAGCTGTGGCTAGCTCTTTGAACGGTCTTTTTGCTGCCTGACTTGCTTGTTGTAAAGATGTGGTTGTTCGAGTGGTCTGATGATCCGTTTTTAAACGGTATGTTGTAGATTTTCACCGCTCTACGTCGAATTTTTTGTTGCCGCACATCCGTTTTAGTATACAAGTATTCACAGTATGTGCCACGTATTTCCCGTGTAGTTTTCGGTAGATAATAGGCCTGCTGTGGTTTGAAATTGTATGGTTTGTATGTTAAATATTGGTTTCATATGATGCCAATCTCAGCATGGTAGCAGTATTTTTCAAAAGAATTTTCTTGTTAGTCGAGCAGCCCACACGTTCGTTTCTCACAGCCATTTTGTGTGTTGCTGAGTGACACGTCAGCTTTACAATTCCGATCGGCAATAAACGTTCCAAAGCGGTCGTAGATGATAGACCCCTGCTGTGAAGATTTCAATGCTTGTGTTCTCAGAGCACTCTCAGAATTTTGCTTCGGGTAAGAAACTTGCTTTGATTGTGATTCTAGCTAATTTTCTCGTGTGGTTGTATGTCCGTGTGGCTTGTATATCCGCATGGCATGGCTTACACGTGCCATTGTGGTTTGGAATTCCGTATAATATTGGCATACATCCGTATAATTTTCACACGTGTGTGTTTTTCTTTGTACTTACAATTTTTAATACAGCATGGGAGCACGGCTAAACATAATAACAATATGCTTATACATATAAGCTGATTTATCACAAAGAAAAATGTTCATAAAATCTCGAACAATCGCAAACTGAATCGCTCTTCGTTTGGGTACACGTCATCTTTGAAGTGGCGTGGTTCGATGTATTGTAATGAATTAGAAAATATCGCTTCACCTACAGTATTGCCACTATGGACTCGGTATAGACTTTTTGTGGGGAGTTTGCATGTCTCAATGTTTCTCACATATCCAATGGATCTACATTTTGGTATTTGTGAGTAGAAGTTATTTCAGTTTATTTTGATAATTTATTCACAAAAATTTTCACAGCTGGGGATCACGTTATGTTCAAGGGCTTGGCTGGGTTTCCATTCTTTGTATCTTGACGTCTAGCATTTGCCGTTATTGTGATTGGCCACTTTGTTTTCCTATTTGCTAATCTACAGCTGAAATACATGTTTTATTTTCAATTTAGTTGTATATACTTCTTGTAAGTTCCCGTTTAAACTGTTAGTTTCGATATTGCTCAGTGGTAATATACTGTTTGTTGAATACAATACTGAGCAATTGTGATCTTATCAACAATTACTAGCAGGTGGTCTATAGAAAATCATAACAATATATTGAACTTGATTGGTTGAGCTATAATTGCTGCACATTATGGCTGATGAAATTCCTCTCGTAGTTTACGTCTTTTGGAGATTTCACTTCTTGAGTATTTATGTGTAATTGTACATCCTGTGTGCTGACTATTGACTGCCCTAGTTGTGTATTTGTATTTTCTGCTAATACTTAATATATTTATATATTTTTAAAGAAAATAAAAGCATTTTGTAAGATTTTGATAAATTTTGTTAACAACCCTGTTTGCTCTGTGAACATATTTTTCATAAAGCAAGCGCATGTTGTTAGGAGAGTTCCGAATTGCGGAAACTGATGCATTTCTTGTCCTGACGTGTTCAAATTTTTCCATTAATTTTTATCCCATGATATCCGGCAGATTGATCAATAATTTATTCACTGTTTACATTGTTTGAAGTGGCACTTGAAACATTATGGTTGACTGACATTCATGGTTGACTCTGGATTCAGTCAAAACCTGTATCAGAACAAATTGTATTGTATTGGGTTGTTACAGAAAATATCCACATTCCCCCCTACGAAGGAAATTCCTGCTGTTTGGAGGGCAGGCTAGAAAATATATTTCTCTCCTGGCAGCAAAAACCAAAAATAAAAATTTCCTGTGTTAATCAAATATATATAAAACTTCCTGCATATGTAGATTTCAGATCTTGGCAAAAGGCAATCTCGACTTGTAAAACACTTTTGGAATTTTTTAACTTATATGGCATACCAGTATATCAAAGATGAAAAAAATTTTGTGCAAGGCGTAAGAAAATTTCCTGCGAATATATTTGTTAAAGATGTCTTGTCAGCGGTGCTTGCTGGACATTTCCCAGCAATGCTGAAGGTCCGTGAGGAGAAAAATGTGCTTGTGTATAATTAGGACATCCGAAGGCCGGTAGGGAGGTCACTTCCAATTTCCGTTGTGGGGAGGTATGGATGTACTTCATAGTAGGCTGCCATATTTTTGCTTATAATTAACTATCTTGCATAAAATTTAAGTCAAAGAAGTTTAATAGAACAAATTTCTTGCAACAAAAGGTGGCCTAATGGTGGTAACTTAATTTGCTACCCCACCTCAATATTTGCCACTGGTTCCGGCTTTGTTCACATTTTATTATCCAAATAATCGCTTTATAAAAATTTTTCAGCTTCCAGTTGTAAAATAAATGATCAAGGTAGCAATTGATCCAGCTTTGCAATAACATACAGTAACTGTTTGTATGACGTGCATGTGCAGAATAGCCTCAGTACCTGCACATCTTTAATGTTATACATTATGTATCTGTATCTATATATAAAAATTTGATATTTTTGTACTTATTTTTAATCATTAATATTTTAGATAATATTGAAGTGAGTTATGAAGAAAGAAGTTTGAAAGGTTCACAGGTAGGCCTGATGTGTGTTTGAGAATTTACATCTTGGTCAGGATTTATGTTGACCATTGAGTTGTTTGATCAATGTTTTACACAGTCAGTTGCAGCCGGATGGTATCAAGTCCTGCCCTAGTTTGCCCTTAATTTACTCAAACTGATTTCCACTATTAAATAGTTAAACTTTGGATAATGCATAACAATTAACCGAACATTTATTGCATTCCATTTACATAGATGGTATTGCATAGTATACAACAATAAAAAATAAATAAAATAAAGACCCAATTATTTACATATATAACTATAACAAGACAATTCGCATATGTTTTGAGTCCTTCCCTAAATTCACACAAGCTAATATTTCTAGTGACGTATTGATATCCGTATCGCATATTGGTATATTGGCCCTAAATTCAAAGTATTGGTAAATTTAATGGTATTTTTGTTGCCGATATTACCAATATTCGGTGTTGTAATATATCTTTATACTACAGTAGTGTAAGATATCAAGTTTGGGCGTTACAGTTGTAGCTTTTCAACCTCAGGGTCCCTATGTTGGGAACTGTGTTTTTTGCCCTGTGTTAAAAAAATCTGCTGTTATTTGAAATCTCCTGTTATTCAAAGCTGTCCATTGGTACTGTGTTTAAACATTATAAGCTGCTTAAGGAGCAAATGTATCTTTTTCTCTAGCCTGTTTCAGGATCTCTTTCTCAACAGTTTTCTGACTGGCTAAAAACATCACCAACGACCAATGTAAGACATCACTCATGTATATACTGTATTGTGTATTATGTAGCATATCTTATAGTAAATTTTAACAAACAGATTGATTTCTTTTACTGGCATGATGGTACCATAGACCCTTTATTTTAAAAGCACCCTCTCAACTAAGCCCCACTACTCCACTTTTTAGAGGAATTAATTTATTGATCTCTCACCTACTGCATAAGCTATCTTAAGCCTGGTTTACAATATCAAAGTTTCTGTGATCACAGTAGGAATTTTGCTTAGGTAAATTCTAAGTTTTGAAGGATTTGTAAGAAATGTTTGAGGGAACTTCTACTCAGTGTTAAGCAGTGTCAGACTGCCAGTGAGTCGATCATTTCCCTCAAAATATTTCTTACAAATCCATCAAAACTTACTGGATTTACCTATATACATTGTTCCTCCACTGTGATCACAGAAACTTTGATAGTGTAAACCTTATTTCGTTTGTACTAAATTAATAAGCCTCACTCTGTTAATTTAGCCCCCCTCTGCTTCCCTCTCCAAAAAGCACCTCCACTCAAAAGTGATTGAGGTAAATAAACTTGGGCAGGGTGCGAGAATTCGTGTACTGTACTTACATACCGAAGGTACGCCATTATTATGGTCTGGTACATCTTTGGTTCTTTCGACTGCCACGTGGGTATGCGGAATTCACGTAATCTGAGTTCACTTGCTGTACCATTTCATCACCAACAATGTATCGAAGCTGTAGTTAAAAACCTTACGTGTACATCCAACATCTCTTGCAATGAAATAGGATTGGATTGATTGGTATTATGGCCCTAAGGAAGGTTGGATTAAGTTGTATGGTGTTTTTAGACAGCTGATTCAATGATGGTCGTCGCAAATAATAGCCAAGTGTACAATCCAAGCGCGAAGAGTATAATGGGAATGAGATTTCATAGGGTCAAATATGTATTTTAAATCGCCTCTTGGGATTAGCAAGTCGTGAAAATTTATCATATTATTTGTATGTTTACAAGTAACTTGACATTTGCTTGTGTGTACGGCTAAAAGAGGCCAAGGAGTCAGCTAGTCACGCCAGAAAAATCATGATTATTAGATTACATTGATATCGAAGGAACTAGATTCGGTTCCGAAATATCAAATACTCGGAACGATCCGATCACGTAGCTCAGTTGGCAGAGCATTGGGCTAGTATTCCAAAGGTTTGATTCCCACCGTGGCAGGTTTGTAAAGGTCTTGAGACATTGTTTTGAGAGGGGAAACCCTATCTAGGAAACTCTCTGAAGGCTCTGGAACCCAGGGTAGCTAGTTCGTTTCTCATGAATGAATTTTATACGAGGGCATTCATATCTCACTGAGGTGAGTTTGGAGGACTGCTCTATATAGTACTAACAAAGTAGTATGATAATTATAAAGTACTAACAAAGGCTTTTCGTTTTTTACTAGGGCATAACACCAGAAAATGAGAAGCTACATGAGACGCTACATGAGAAGCTACATGAACCTGCCCAGCTGCCACCAATTCTGCCCAACACGCGCTATCCAGGACCATTCAATTTTAGTATTGATTTTGAGCCGAATACTGAGCCGATCACGAAAGCCACGCCCTGGGTTTACGTCGCTGAGCGTGAAAAGTTGTTCGTGAAGATGCAGTGTGTTTGTCCCATACTTTTTAAGATTATAGGTTAGTCTAAAAAGAAAATTTGCCTTGTTAAACCATAGTCAATAGGATAAGAAGGTCAGGGAACTCGATGCAGACGTAATAGACATCATTATTTGTGTTTTTGTCGTGGTTTATGCAAGAAATAATGTGCCATTCCACTTAATATAGCCCCCCCCCCCCCCTATTGAGGGGTCTGGATATCCTATGGGGGGAGGGGATTTTTACCTAAAATTTTCCTAGAGGGTAGCTTAAGAGATTTTCCAAGAAACAGGAAAAATTAGGTATTTTAGTGATATTCAAGGGGGCAAGAACGATATCCTAAAAGGGGTATCAAGATATCCATGGGGTAACTTCCAAAAATCGCATCCAAGGGGGTTCTAAAATTTTTATATCCTAGGGGGATTAGGAAGGGACCCCTCAATAGGGGGGGGGGGGTGCCTATATTAAATGGAATGGCCCAATAGATTTGTTCTTTAAAACGCATTGAGAAGTCTCAATGCTTTTTACAACAAGAATATAAAAATTACAGTTAATGGTCTGTTCATGGTCACGCGTGTTTATTGTATTTTAGCTCGAGCAACCAATTGCTATGCTGCCACCGATATATAGGTTATACAGTAAGTTGAAAAGGAAGTGTTTAATTTTATTAGGAAATCCCCCTCCTGGTAGTGGAGTCCGAGGAATATTAATGTACAAGAGGCCTGAGCACTACAAGGATATCGTTTTACGCTGTCCCAATCACAAGAACTCGTCTAAAGATGGTAAATGGTTTATTTTATCTCTTAGCTCTTTCAGTTCCACCGCGAATGTTGTGGTAATTAGTACTTATATAAAATTTAGAAAGATTTAACCTATGGATATTTTCCTCCCCTAGCCCCCCTCCCCGTGTGACGTAGTGAACAGAAGTTGATTACAATTTTCGTGCTTTCAGATCACCCGTATCAGGATCATGTAATGAAATGTGGAAACGCGAGCACAATTTACGAGTGCTGCCCGAAGACAGGGCGTTTATCATTGTTTTTACCACTCAGTGCTGTTGACCGAGTCGGTAAGTCAAATTTTGAACTAGGACTCCACTAGACTTCTGCCCCTCAAAGGGGGTTTTTATCTTGGAGTTTAAAAGGGCGCGCAAACATTTGTCCTCTCCCATTTGTTTCACTGCCTGCCCACCTTAAGCTTGGAGCCGTTTGCACTAAATATCAAGAGGCATCGCTCTCGATGCCGTTATATGGAATTGAACCTGTGGCCTTGCACCAGCAGTTTATTTTGTAATACCTTGTCATCAGTATATCTTTAATACCCAAGAGCTTTTGTCAAATACAAGACGTGATCCCTACGTGATCCCCAAGCCAGTTTCTGCATTACACGATCCCTAAATTATTTCCTTGCGTGTTTTTCTTTGTAGCTGGAGAATGTTACTTCAAAGAGTTGTTTAAGTTCACTTGTTTTAACTCCTGTGTTGGTGGGATGAACAGACGACCTACATGTCTACTATTCTCGCTAGAGTGCGGGTACGTAGCCTAGAATATCTATATCATCCATATATATCTTATATACACTAGATAGCGCATCTCTTTTATTAAAATTGAAGCCAAGAATATTCCAGCGGTTACCCCCATTTGAATAGATGGCGGCCATATTGGTCGTTCCCACTTGCTAATAAACTCTTAAAAACAACAATAACTTTCATCATTTGAATAGTTTAAAACGTATTTGGAATAGGGTTAACTTAATGTTTAAGTTCCCTGTTTAAGAAATAGAAAACATACGAATCTTCTCATTTCATGGGAACGACCTGAGACTGCAATCACGGCTTCAATTTTTGAATTGCAGAATAATTAAATGCACTATCTAGTGTATATAAGATATCTATGATATCATCCCGTTGTATTTAATGACGATATGTATGTATTTGACTGCAGCTAGTGTAATGCTGACGGCCTAGTTACTTTGTTTAATACTTGAAATATCAATTCTGCTCTTTCTCCTTCATTCCAAGCTACTTTATTTATTTTTTACTTTATTTATTTTTTATTTAACAAACGAAGTTATTTTTCCTCAACCTGGTCTAGTTGATAACCTGGTTATTTTTTGTAAAACTGATTTAGTTATTTGCCATCTTGAAGTTATCTTGTTAAAGAATAAAAGTAGTGAGCTCAGTTGTGTTGCCATCTAATCAATACATTGGATGACTTTAAGACTCCCTAGACCTCCCCCCCCCCCCTTTCCCACAGCCACCTACTCTATGAAGACAGCCACCCACTCAGAATAATTCTGAAAGGCCTGCTAAGTGACGGGGTCCACCCTGTCAACATTCTTTTGGAAGGAAGCAAGTGGTGTAGAACTAAACGATAACAAGGGGGAGAGGGGGGCCAGTCTCTCAAATGGGTGGGGTGTGACAAGACGTGGAGGGCGCAATCAGATAAACATGATAAACACGGAAAGTTTCAGTATTTATATTAGGACTTAACTTGAAACAAGACGGCTGTATTGAGATTAATTTCTATCTTTCTAACAGTGAAATGATTTACGGTCGTGCTGTAATGGAAGTACGGATATGTGCGTCGCCAGGAAGGGACAGCACTGAAAAAGAAATTAGCAACAATCAAAAGAATTCGAAAAATACAGACAAACGGAGTGAACCTATCTCGACAACAGATGTCCCCACCCCCATGCCTCTTCCTACCACAAACTCCCCCGGATCATCACCTACGTATCCCCCCCGGGCAAGTGTTTTGATGTCCGCGAGTAAAGATCCCTCCAGCGCTCCAGAACCTTTTCAGTTTCCAACTGTTCAGTCACAGCTGTCGAGAAAACGCCGTAAGTTCCTTGTGTTTCTTCAATGTTTACAAACGTAAAAATCCCTTGCATGCTTGTCAACAAGTTGTAACAACGCTGTTATTTTATCAAGTTGCTACAAGGTTGTCACTCACAACTTGTTGACAAATTGTTGAAGTTCAGGACGATTGCATGTTGTCGGAACAATGTCTATTTTAAATAGTAACACAAAGTTTACGAGACCTACATAATTACAAAAATACATCTATTCTAATTCAACTATACTAAATTTAACTTGCTTGACGCATTCAAGGTCTAAAAATAAAAAAAGAAATATTAGTAACTTTGCCAGTGTCACCCCCCCCCCCCCCAAGGCTTACACAGGCTAAGAAATTAAACAAGCTTACGAGGACGTGGGTCGTGGACATGACGCAGGAATAAGTTTCGCAATCACAGGTTCAAGTCCTTTGAAGGTTGGTACCAAAAAGACGTTTTCTTTCACTCCAGCAATCTGTTCTAACTGCATTGGATCAACACGCCCAACACCAACCACGATCACCCGAACACCCTTTTCTCGTAACCGCTGTGCAGGAGGAACGACATTACCCTTACTTTTACCATCTGTCATCAGGACCACAACCTTTGACGCATCATTGCGGCTTCCGCGCGCTGGGGTGAATAATTCATTCGCTTTCTCTAGTCCTTCATTGATAAACGTCTTTCCACGTATTCTTGTTAGGCTCTTTACAGCAGCAACAAGTTGTTCACGTTGATAGTAGCGATCAAATGCAATGGAGATTTCGGCATTAGTACTAAACATGACCACGCCCACACGTGTCCCACTTGCAGAGATGCCTGGGAACGCATCCATCATATACGTTACAAACTTGATGACATCATGAAATTCTTCGTTGTTAACACTGCCCGAATCGTCCAATACGAAGGCTAGATCCAGGGCGCCAACAGCGCAACCTACGAATATGCAGGAAATTATTAGAAACACATTTTCAATCTAGAAGCAGTGTGATTAAAGCATTCTAGTCATTCCTATGTTGGGAACTAAACTAGACTCCTAAAAAAATGTGTAGCAGGGAAATTGCCTCGTTTGACATAGCCTTATTAATAATGAATAAATAGATTACATACCAGGAACTTCACAAACTGAGCCAGTGAAACTCTGTGAACAGCGGCATGAATATGTTAAGCCGGGTTCTGGAACACATGTTCCATTGTGTTGACATGGTGTCGGGTTACATGAAGTACACTCAGTCACCAATCTTTCTTTCTTGACATCATCACCAGTGTAATTCAGGTCCAGTCTCTTCCCGTCCAGCGTCACGTTCGACATACAGCCAATGAATTGGAAGTCGCCTTTCAACTCTGTATAATTCAGCCCATATCGTCTGAAGAATGAATTGTAAAGGTTGATTCATTATCATGTTGGATTGGTTCAACAGACTTACCAACTAACCCACTTACTAGCACGATAACAATACATCCACACCCGAATATATAATACACAAGAATAATTGAATAACATACCTGTCTGGCGAAGTTGGGTCATCCGTATAAACAGTTCCAACGTACATTATTTCTTTCAAATTTATTTTCTGCGAGTTGCCATTATTCTTCGCAGTCATAACGACGTGATTGTCAACATACAGGCGCATTTGCTTGGAATCCCGGATCAGTCTGATTTTATGCCATTTGTGCAAGTCAATGGAGTCATGACTGCGGACGAAACTCTTACCGCTGCCTGCGTTACTCCTGGAAAATACAAGATTTGGTTTGTGAAAAGATTGAAATCAATGGACCTATTCCCTAATGAAAAATGTTTGATCTAGACAAGTCTAGACAAATACTTCATCACAGCTTGAAAGAGCATCGCAACTTCGCATGGCTATATTATCCGCATTTTACAACGTTTCGCAAAGAAACTTCGGAATATTACTAATTTTGTGATGCTCTTTCAAGCTGTGATGACATTTTTGTCTAGATCAAAATTTTGTTCATTAGGTAATAGGCCCCATTTGCACTGTGGAACATCGGGTACACACGCAAAAATCTCACAACTTGTCAACAAGATGTGTTCGCAACAGGTTTATAGCAAGCTTGTCAACAAGTTGTAACAGCGCTGTTATTTTATCAAGTTGCGACAAGGTTGTCACTGACAATTTTTTGGCAAATTGTTGAATTGCAGGACGATAACAAGTTGTTGGAACAACTTGTAACAAGTCTGTTGAGCACAACAACCCTGTAGCAAAGTTGTGAAGTTGACAACAAGCTTGAACAAGCAGTGCGAACACATCCTGTTGACAAGTTGTTGGAACAGCATTGCTACAAGTCTGCTGCTGGTTTGGTACAACTTGTGCGTTTTTACGTGTTAACCGACTTCTGACATTTGCCTGAATTTTTCTGATTGCTGACAAACGATTTGAATTAACATCCTGCAAAAGAGCTTAGGAACAATTGACTTAAAAATGACATCCAAAGACCCGAGCTTCGTCAAATAACAACTTCTTACCTTGCTTCAACAAAGCCATCTCTCATTGCAATGGAAATAAAATCTACCTTCTTGAAAGTGACAACTATCGGAGCTGTTTTAACCTGAGGTCTGATATTGAACGAGATATCAAAATCACTATATTCCCTCTTTACTGCAAGAATCATCATCGAGCCTTTTCCTGTGAAGTACACGATCCGTTCTGGAGGATAGAAAATGGATTTTGAAAACTGGAATCTGTACATATGGGAAGCTAATCCCAGTTTCTCAAGCACGACGTGGCTCAAAGAACCACTAATTATCCTCAATTTCATGGTGCTGAGTGGATAAGAGTAATAAGTTAATCCGGGAAGATTTACTCCTTGCACTCATTTAACTGGGAGAGAACATGTAAACTTAACTCCCTGCACACGAGTTGCGTATACCACCGTATAGACTAACTAACCCTTACAATGCGGTCGTGGTTTGTAAGTTAGTAGGGTTTTGCTACGATTTGGTTGCGGACAAACTGAGGTTTATTTGCGTTAATCGAAGGGCGGTTGATTCAGCAATCATCAAAGTCTTTTTAACACAACTTTTTAGCTTACTTCTGAGCGGTACTAATCTGTACTATTATAGCGTGCCTTGCGATTGAACAACTGAACTTGTATAAAATGTCCTTTTATCGGGCTAATTGAAAACGCAAAATATATTGCATTCCTGCAGAAACTTTACAGCACGCCGTAATTAGCTAATCGCTATTGCAGAAACCCTGTTGAACTCAATTGATATTACTAGTTCTTATCTTGTCATGTAGACAATTTGGCAAAGCTAATAAATAATAAAAAAGCTTACCATTAGTGTCACAGAACTTTCCAGAGTATTTGTCATCGCAGTTACAAGTGAATGTACCATCAGCACTTGCTATACATTCCCCATGATCCCCACAAGGGTTTCCTGTACAAGCATGACATGGAGCCAGACCTTTCTGGTCCAGAGTATCGCCATTAGTGGCGGCAAAGTTGATGGAATGATCATCAATCACGAGATTCTTTATACAACCAGTGAAGTAAGAGTATTTCAATCCGCTGCTAGTACGAGCTGAAATTCTGTAAAACAATAACATAGAAAGTTATATATGCTTTTTGTGAAAGAATCGGTTTTATAAGCTTTCGTCGTTCGAGAGGCCTTTTATTCGTCCTATCATTCTTTCCTGACAGACTTGGATCTTAATTTCTTCCATCCATTTCTCTCTTTCTTCCTTCATCAACTTTTCCTTTCTTTCTTAAATATAACTTTATTAAACCAAACTTACCGTTTTTCAGGCTGTTTGGGCTCGCCAATGGTGAGAGCAGTTTTCAAATCTATCTCGGCGAAAGTCTTTGGCAGAGTGCCTTTCACAATATTCTGTTTATCAACAGTTAACGTCACAATCTTTCGGTCACGAGTAACCTTGATGTCATGCCAATCCATTATGGAGACAGGTTGTTTACTTTTCACTGTGACTTTCCCCTGTCCTGCATTAAGACTGAAAATATGGAATCGAATTATTTCGGTTATATAAGTTTCCAAGGTAATGGTATAGAAGACGAAGTGAAGGAAAAGATTTATATTTCCAATAAGCTCTAATGTAATTCATACCTCACTTCAACAAAACCATTTTTAATGCCAATGCTGACAAATTCTGGCGGTCTTAAACCTTCACCATAAACTATCATTCCATCCTTCGTGACAGGTTGAATATCCATTGAGACAGCAAACTTTGTATTGTCTTCGAACACATCTAACTCAGCGAACGATCCAGCTCCTTTCAAATATACAGCCTTGTCTGAAACAAGAACCAGTCCATCAATAACAAGATTAAAAACTTCCTCGAGTACAGGTAGAAATGTCGATGGTAATGATGTTGATAATGGTGATGATCATGATGATGGTGATGATCATGATGATGGTGGTGATGACTGTAGTTGTAATAATGTGATCGTAATGATGTGGTAATGGTGGTGATTATGATAATGGTAATATGATGGTGGTCGTGATGATGGTAATGACAGTGATGATGGTAATGATGGTGATGGCGGTGGTGATGACGATGATAACAACGATAGTAATAGAGTAAAAGCCTTGCCTTTCCCCTGACATCGTTTACCAACAAAACCTTTTGGACACAAACAGATGTAGGTATCTCCCATCTTTGGATCAAATTTACATTGGGCAGAATTTTCACAAGGTCGTGTTTTGCATGGATCCGCAGGACATTTTGTGATGTTTCTCTGTTTAATAATATCAGCGCCAGGGTAGTGGAGGTCGTAGTCTTTAAAACTCATCTTGAGATCTTTAAGACAGCCAACAAAACCATCTGTAATATTAAGCTTCTGTTTCGAACTGTAAACAAAGAAAATCACATTAGAAAACTTTAAGCCCTCGACAAACTAGGAAACTTTGTTGTGGAAAATTATTTCTTAGTCATGCCCGTGGACAAACCAGGAAGCATAAAAATCAATAGAATATGTTTCTCAATTTATTGGGAAACAGTTTTGCGTCCTCGAAAGCAAATTTTGTACAGACGTTTTACATAGTTACCTGGTTGTTAATTTC